TCGGCGAGACGGTTGGCGGACTTGTTGAGATCTGAAGACGTCGTCAGAAACGATCAAAAATAGAAATGAATGGCAAGAGTGGACTCTTACCGTCCGCGCTCATCTGCGCGATGTACCCGAAGCGTTGCCCCATATACAGCTGCTCCGCGGGCTTGTAGCCGTTGGTGCAAGTCTGTTTATAGAGCACGCACGGGGCGCACCGATTGCCGTGGCGCCCGTCGACGCTCTTGAAGCAGACGCGCTGCCGCGTCACGCACATCGCGCAGGGCCTTGGCGCGACCTCCTATGAAAAGGGGATCAGTCGTCGAGGCATGGAAGAAAAAGATAAAGAAACGCACGAAGTCGGTTGGCACCTCGATACCGGCCCTTTCCAACTTCCCCGCGAACCCTTGGCGTGCCACCGAAAGGAGCGCCTCGGTGTCGTAGGCGGCGGAAGTGAACGGAGCTCGGGGCGTGGGGGCCGACGCCTTCGCAGGAGTCTAGAAACAGTCAAGTCAGTAAAAAGTCGACGACAAGAAAAAGTCGCGACTCACCGAGTCAGATTTCTTCTTGGCCGCCGCAACGGACTTTTCTGCCTTCTGAGCCTTGAGCTCGGCCTTGGCCGCCGCAACACTCCGCTCGCGACCAAGGGTCGCGGCCACCCTGCCCAACTCACTGCGTGGAGTCTTGGTAGTGGCGGGGCCGCCTGGGCAACCTAGAAAAGAAAGAAAAACGAGTTAGTCGACGTCTGGGAACCAAGTCTGTGTCTCACCTTAGCCACTGGGGTCGGGGTAGTCGTCGCTCGCGGGGCGCTCGCCTTGCGACTGGCCTCCACCTTCGGCACCGGATGGGGAGGCACGGATTTGGTCGACTTGGATGATCCATCCGCGACCTTCTTGATTGGCTAAAAAGCTGGATTAAGGGGCGTGGTCTGGGAAAAGGGAGCCGGCTCACCTTGGGCTTGACGCGGGTCTCGCTGACCTGCTTCTTGGCCACGACGAAATCGCCGGTCTCCTCTCCGCTCTCGGAGGTGTCGTCCATGACGATGACGGACGGGGCTACGAAAGAATGAGTAAACGACAGAGGGGGACAAGAGGAAAACGTACTCAGATTCGATCGCGCTTTCCCCTTGGACTTGGGCCCCTGTCAAAAACAAAGCAACCATGAGACAAAGAATCGCGATCGACGAACTGGGTCACTTACCTGAAGGACCAGCTCGTCGGCCGATGACGCGTCTCCCTCCTGGACCCCCTCGTCGTCGACATCCATCGCAGTGTCGGCGACGGCGGCGGCTTCCTCATCGCTGAGGGACTCGGGTTGCACGGGCTGTGCTTGGATCCGGGCTGGGAGGGACCAAGTGGTTAGTCTAAAGATCAATGAAATAAGACATAGGATCACACACCTGCGTGCGTCTTCTTGTGGACGCGCTTGGGAGGTGACTCCTGTGGAATAGGGGCCGAGGTAGCGGCTACGACAAGTCAGTACCCGCGACTCTGGTGAATGAAAGGAAAGAGCCACTTACGAGTAGGCGCGTGGGACGACGCCTTGGGCTCCTCCGCAGGAGTCGCCTTGGATCGCTTCCCCTGCGACTTCTCGCTCGACTTCTCGGCGACGGCGACCTTGCTGCCCGCGACGGCGGCAGGGGCCTGCGGCTTGGAGCCGTCATCCTTCCCCTTCTGCTTGGCAGGCCGGGACGACGAAGGGGCGGCGACTTGTTCGGTTGGAGCCGCCTGGGGGTCGATCAGAACATAGTGAACGAATGAAACAGATTACACGTACGGGTTCGACGACTCGTTTGCGTTTCTTGGGCGGCGACGACTCCTCGACTGGAGCGTTGGTGGTCAAGGGCGTAGACGCCGGCTAGTCCTTACGTGAGTGAAAAGAAGGAAGGCCAAAGCGAACAGGCGCGGCAATCATTGATCGCCGTGACTGCTCGCTCCAGCGGGCTTAGAACGGAGCTCACCTGTTGGATCTGGCGGACGTCGACGGCCATCTGCCGCAACATCTGGTTGTAAGCCTCGGGGCTAGGCAGGTGGTGAGTTGAGTCGACAAGCCATGGGAGAGACCTTGACGGACGGCATGAACTGCCGCCAGTCGATGGCAGGCAGGTTTGCTCCCGGGACAGCTGATTCGGTGACGGCTGATGGACGGTTAGCGTGGTTGAAAAGTCGCGGTAATCGCCTTGGGCGTCACTCACGGTTGGTGTCTTGGGGGCGGGGGCTCTGGTCGGGCGCGGACATGGTGGTCAAAAGGCAAGAGTGTCTCGTACTAGGGAGACTCTCGACCCTGAAAATTGAGGGCATTTATATGGTGAACATGCCGGAAGAAGTTTGATCGCGGCAGATCACGGAAGGAACCGAACAACCAAATGAATAAGACGTGGGAACATAACTCTATGTCTCCGCGGCTTTAATAATAAATCAACGAGACGTCGACTGTTGGACTTAGACCTGACGCAGTGAGACTGTCGCGGGATTGACCAGGAGGTCAAAATTAGTGTTCCTGGGAGATGATAGGCTGGCTACCAGACGCGCTCTGCACCAGCTCTGTAAGGGCGTATTTTTGCGCTTTTTACAGAGTTTACTCTTGAACCATTCGGTGTATCGTGTCGCGGTTGACAGTGTTGCGCTCAGTAGGACTTAAGGGTCTACTGCCCAGTCGACGACTGTGGATAGTGTCGACGATAGCAAGGCAGTCAGACCACTACTGTGGAACTGGTCTTATGGGTCTACACCAGGCTCAGGGCCATTAGTGACGAACGCTTGGACCGCGACCATTCCCCAAAAAGGGATCTGTCGTTGCGTCGGCTTCTCAATAAGGGTCATTCTCTGCAGATGGGAACTTGGGCTGAAGGGCTGAGCAATGCGCGACGTTCTCAATAATAGAACTACTACTGGACAGGACTTGGCGTTACAAGACTTAAACCATCTTGTCGCGGCAACTCCCGGTTTTGAGTTGGACGTTTTCCTCAGATCATGCCACGACAACGACTTGTCACATGTCAGGATCCATTCGATCACGGGACATTGTGGACGCGTCGCGGTGACACTTCCAAGTGTCACGGCGAGTCGCGCCCATACCCAAACACACTAGAAACCGACACGGCTAGATCCGTGAACTGAACCATGTGGGGGACGATTGGCGTGCCTAGAGCCATACGGCTTCTCGGGGCGCCCACGTTGGTCTCACTTGCCAAGACATACCCGTTGGCCAATCCAGCACGTCGTATTCCAAAAGTATGACGCGGTGGGTTGACCCACATCAAAAGTATCATATGGACAATGGGGCGGGGTCCTGATCACTCAGGACCTGTCCGATCGTTCAACTTTTCAATTACCCTAAAAGGCAACCGATCTTAGATAGCGTAGCTACTATGCAGTTGTACAGGACTTTACTAAGCAGCGTCGTAGACAGTATAAGTAGCACGTCGTTTCTTTGTATTGGGGAGCTTTCCCCCGGACTGTGAATCACTATCATTTCAGATTGTTTTGTACAATTTGCGTGCCGCGTGATTCCACCCTAAGAAGTTCTGCTACCCCTGCCCGGTCGCGACGAGTTGCTCCCTGAGCACTTGTAGCTACTGTGATTTGAGTTTGAGTTGAGACATCAGAAAGTCGGATTCGCCGCATCTGGTTTAGTCGCGGCATTTAGTGTCGTCGCCTTCGGGCTTTGTTGAGATCGTTCCACACCTCTAGCTTGGCAGTGCGTCGACTAGTTGTGCTCGGGTTGTTTTGGTCAGTTGGCAGTGCGTCGACTTGAGAACTTTGGTTCCACACTTCTTGCTTGGCAGTGCGTCGACAAGTTGTGCTCGGGTTTTGGACATTGGATATTGGCTGTTAGTTGGCAGTGCGTCGACGCGGCATTTTGGTTTACTAGTTGGCAGTGCGTCGACTCAGTACTTTTGGTTTTGTCAGTTGGCAGTGCGTCGACTTGACATTTTGGTTTACTAGTTGGCAGTGCGTCGACTCAGTACTTTTGGTTTTGTCAGTTGGCAGTGCGTCGACTTGACATTTTGGTTTACTAGTTGGCAGTGCGTCGACTCAGTATATTGGTTGTATCGGTTGGCAGTGCGTCGACTTGATATTTGAGCTTCGCGTCGCCATCTGGACGTTGTCGCTACAAGGGATCTTAATACTTCGTATTAAGCTCTGACTTGTTATATTGTTGTTGTGGATTGGATTAGTGTTGGTTGTGATCGTATAGAAGATATTGGTTGAGACACCATTGTTTGCTATATATAAATTCTTGTCGTCGACTTCGTCTCCGCGACTATTGGATCTGCGTCTATTGAGAGTTGTGATACTGGTGCTCTGTCCACCCCGAAGCCCTCGCATCTTTCACACACTGAGAAGCTGATTACGAGGAGTGTGAACGTGTTTTATATTTGGGTTTACTTTCATAGTAGATTCACTTGTGAGCACGCCCTCAGCATTTCAACGCATGGATCCGCGGCATTCTCGTGGTATTGCAGGCGCTTGTACCCTTCCGCCAGGGTTTTGTACCAGATGTGTCCTGCCTGCACAAGCCCGTATATGGGTCTGAGGAGAAGACATACCCTGCTTTCTTCCCCCTTCTTCTCAAACCCGCGTGGCTGTTTCATGTAGACTGCCCGATCCATTGTTCCGTTAAGGTAAGCCCCCGAGAAGTCCCATTGCTTGACATGTAATCCCTTCACCGCCGCCACCGCAAACACCATCCGTACCGATTCCATCCTTGCGACCATCGCCCATTTCGTCCCAAAGTCTCGGCCTTCTATCATCTGATCTCCTCTCGCCACATATCGCGCCTTTCGTTTTATTTCGTTTCCCTCTCCATCCAACTTTCGATCGAAAACCCACATCCCGTCAATCACACGCTCCCCCGTCGGCAAGTCCACCAGCTTCCATACATTTCTTTCTTCCATCTGCTTCATCTCAACGTTCATCGCCTCTTTCCATGCTCTGTCGCCCATCGCCTCGCTGCCGCTCCTTGGCAACTCTCCCTTTGTCACTCCAGCGAGTATCATCGGGATCGCCATGTCTTCAGCTTGGTAAGACTCGTTCAGCATGTCTATGCAGTTGACTGACGGCCGGACAGCATCCTTCGCCCAATCTTCCCCCGCTCTGCGTGCCTCTTCCTCGATTTGATTTGAGACTTGCGACTCCAAGATAGCCCGGCTGGGTTTTGGCACTCGTCCGCTGCGCCTCGGTAACTCGGGCACTGTCGCTTGGGGTGTGAGGTCTGGAGTTCCCTGGTCCTGGCGTTCCTCCGTGGTCATCTGTGATTCGACTTGACGTTCATCGCGTTCGGTGTCATGCTCCGGGGAGGGATCTGATTCCTTGTCCTGACTCAGTATGCCTTCGCCATCCTCGTGGCCAGGGTTTGCCTGTGTTCGGTGAGGTTCGCCCTCCTCGAAGATCACGTTCCGGACTTCGAAGACTCTCATTCGGCGTGGGTCGTATATGCGGTATCCCCGCCTGCCCATGTACCCCACCATGCGACCTTCCCAGCTTTGCCGGCCCAGCTTCCCTTCGCTGTTGTCGAGGTCCTTGACCCAGCATGTGCTTCCCCATACGCGAAGGTGCGATATATTTGGTTTGACCAGTTCGCCGTTCTCATTCTTCTTCTGGAACCATCGCATCCATGGGATCGAATCTGGGTGCCTTGCCGATGGTACGAAGCTTCGAACGTAGCAATGTGCCGCCATTGACTCCGCCCAAAATCTTGGGTCGAGTCCCGATTCAATCAATTGCGTCCGAGCGCCAGCTATGACTGTCCGGTTTCCCCGCTCCGCATGGCCGTGTGCTGATGACGATGCCTTAGGTACTCTTTCCATGGCAACCCCTCTGTTGCGGCAGAAGTCCGTGAAAACATCGTTGTCGAATTCGCTCCCAAGATCAACGCGGACCACCTTCAGCTTTCGTTCGGTCTGCACCTCGGCCTCAACCAACCATTCCGCGAACGCTCGTAGCACTGTCTCCTTCCGTTTGTTTGTCAGGAAGACCGGAAACTTCATGCCTGATCCCCCGTCTGATATCAAGAGCAAGTATATTGCGTTTCCGAAGCTCGGCGTTCTAGCTTTTCCCCACAGGTCCAGGTGGACTCTCTCGAGCGGCTCGGTTTCATGTGTAACCACATCGTCAAATGGCATTCGGTCCTGCTTGCCGAGGATGCAGTCTCGGCACATCCCCACGATCTCTTTTCCGAGAACGTCCAAACCGCTGACCAACTCTTTAGATTCCATTCGTTGGATGGTCTTGACGTCGGAATGTCCCAGTCGGCGGTGCCAATTCTGCAGTGACGTCGGTTGTTTCCGGTCGCGTCCCGCAATCGCCACGGTTGGTGTTCTGGCGTCCATCCCGTCGACCACGTCTACTCGGTATAGTCTCCGACCACCGATTGCCTTCGACGCTAGCTGACCATCCAGCACAGTGACGCCATCGACATTCATCACGGCCAGGGTCCCGTTTCCCCATGAACCACGCATTCCCCGAGCATCCAAGGTCGGAAGCGACACTAGGTTCATTCCGAAGTCTGGGGTGTGCACTGCGTTATATCGCACATGTCTCAGCTCGCCGCTTGCGAGTTTAACGGTAAGCTCAACGTCGCCTCGCCCCAAGATCCTGAATTGACCGCCCGACTTGATGGCAGTGTTCCCTTCCATTCCCGGCGTTGGCTCATATGTGACAAATCTTGATCTGTTCACTACGCAGTGTTCCGAAGCGCCGGAGTCGAGGTACGTGGGGATTGCATTTGAGCGGGGAGTGGCTGATTCTATTGCGTACACTACAGGTAGGGATGGACGCTCTACTGACCCTCTCAGAACGGCAGGATCTGGTTCTCCACGTCCGATTCTGAAGGGGCCGTCAGATACGCGACCACCACCTCCTGAGCGTCTCGGCTTACCGTAGCCATCGGTTTCTGCCGCGAGTACGTATGTGTGCATGGGTGTTGTAAACGCGGCCGTGGGAGTGACGGGGTGGTGGTTATTGGGTATGGATGGGGGTCCTTGGTTTGCTTGTGCCCGCCGGGCGATGCGCGCTTGCTGATGGCTTGCTACCAAGCTCGGATTCGGTTCCATTCCTCGTGGTGCTTTCCACCAACCAGGTGCTTGTCCTTCCTTTCCCCCTCCGCGAGCCCAACATCCGGTTTGATTGTGTCCGTTGACGCCGCAATTGGTGCATGCTGATGAAATGTTCACAGACATCACATTTGCGGGTGCCGATCCAGGTTCCTCTTCCACCCGTTTCTTCCATACGAGGTCCCACCACTCCCTTAGATGCTGGATCAGTGCTGCGACCACTTTGTACATCTGCAACGCGATCAACGCCGTCCCAAATTCCTCCTTCGGTAGCGAGTTCAGAATAATCGTGCACATCAACGGATCGTCGATTGATCCTCCGACTTCGTGGACGTCAGCGCGGCGCTTCACGAGTTCATCGATATGCCCAGGGAGCACCCGAGCGTCCTTCAGTGAAAGTTCTCGGAGCCGTTCCACTTTCATCCCGATCAGTAGGTCGGTGCTTCGATTGAATTTCGCCATGAGGACTGTCCACATTCGATAGGCGGTGTCCGAACCGGTGATGTCGTGCGATCGGGGATCCTTCATGTTTTGAAACAACATTGCTGCCACCCATCCGTCGCGTATGAAGAATTCGTCCGGGGATGGGTTATCCGAATTGAGGGGGGTCCCAGTGGCGTTGGCTACGTATCCTCCGGAGGGATCAACAACGGTGCCGTACATATACCCAGTCATTCCGCGGCCACGGGCCATGCTGATGGCCGCTTCTTTCCAGGACGCCCAGTTGGATCCGTCGACGGCCAATTTTTGCTCATCGGGTAGCATCGGGGTTGATGGGAGATTGGCGGTCATCGTTTGCCACGGATGTGTATGATGGTCTTCGGTATTCTATATTGGTCGACTGATTCTTGGACTGCGAAGATCACGTCTGACTGCGAATCTGTAGACGACGGATCGATACGTAAGTCCTCAGTCCGACCTTAGCAGTGGGTAAGACTCTTTGATTACCTGTAGACGACGGATCGATACGTAAGTCTAGGTAATGTAAGTACCAGGTAATAGGAATATATGACGTGGACGTACCCTCAGTCCGACCTTAGCAGTGGGTAAGACTGAGGGCAATATACGATCGGAAAAACTTATATATGTGTCAGAAAACGATCGGAGCAAACAGACCCCAACACCTGAACGCCTACGCGCCCAATATGGGATCTCAACATGCCCCAATCTGGCCCTGGACAGCAGGTGGCGGATGCATCCGCATGGCGCACGTTTCAGCTGCTGTGGGTGCTGGAGAGGCCTACCTGGGTTCTAAGGAACCTGACAACATCTGAGAAGCTTGCGTTCTATGTTTATCCTACGCATTAAGGTTCTGAGCAACCAATTTAGCAATCCAGAAACAATGCAGAGCATCCGCACAGCCCAAGCACTGAATTGGCCCAACTAACACTCTTTGTTTGCTGCACATAGAGGTCTTTGAAGCAGCTATAATCATTTGGGAGTCAAAAGCACTTGCATACATTGGCTACAGAAGGCTCAAGTCCACAGTGAAGCAATATATACAGGCTAGAACTGAAAAAATAAAAGAGCAAGAAATGCGGAGGGTTCCGCACTGGAGAACAGTCACATGACATGGTCCGTGGATGGCCTGCATGATGGCATCACAACGATCACGGGGAGAGCCAGGAGCGGATGGATCCGCAGCTGGTTACAGGGCTTGTTGCGGATGCTTGGCACCCATTTGCGGAGGTTTTGGTGCGGAGGATGGCCAAAAGTGCGGAGGGTACCCCCCCTGTTAGGTACCCAAATCAGTCGAATTTTGACCCCTAACAGGGGGGGGTACCCTCCGCGGCGGATGTTCCTTAGGTGTGGTGTTCACGCAACGGATGGCAAGCCGAGATGACGTACTACCACTGTCGAAGCCATATGTCGACCGTGAAGGGGTACCGCACGACAATCTCCCGTGAGTGTTATTCTCCCTAATCTAAGATGAGCAGACTTGATAGCCTGCGCGTCACCAGAATCCGCAAAGGTCAGATAATCACGATATCAACCCTGGCCATCAATACAGACGTGGGAACCTGGGGCGACGATGCGCTGAATTTCAGGTCGGACTTTTCCTCGATTTTGTTGGTCTTGAACCCGTTAACACGTCTACTTGTGAGACAGGCCAGAACGCTGGGATAACCTCCCTGAGGCAGTAAACTCGATCCCTGGAATTTGGGCACACCAGATGACTTTCATGGCCGGCCCGCACAACTGCATCGGATTCAGATTCACTTTAGTCGAGTAAGTTCATTTCACTTCATTCTGCGACTGCGCACAAAGTCTGATGCTGTAACTCATCAGGCAGAAGGCGATCTTGTTCAGCCTCCTCCGAGCATTCGAATTTTCACCGGGTGCCGAGCGTGTCGAGCCTGTTTTGAGTGGTCCTCTTCAGCGCCCAGTTTCTTTTGTGCCCGAGAAATCCGGTTTCGTTTCAACCGGGACTCTGCCAATTACTGTCAGCGCGTATAACGCTGAACTGTGATCGAGCAATAATTGGTCGCTCATAATTAGGGAACGGGTGTCCTATCGTCCAAGAGTAGTAGATGCACGAGATATATCCTGGGTTTTGCTTCACACAGAAATTAGGCTGGGCCGACGCGCACGCGGCGTTTGAGAGACATCGCAAGCCGAGAGACTATTCCATCATACAGCTTCAATTCACTAAGAATGGCTCGGTTGGCCTTTGATGTAAAATGATGTGTCTTAGATCGTCTTCGTAAACTTCGCTCTCGATTTCGCCACTTCAATTTCCTCTCTCTCCTGCCACGTGGGTAGCTCTAATATGTCTTCCACGAGCCTTCTGATTGGCCTGCCACGCCGATCGAGCTTTCCCGCACGCCAAAGGAACTCTGCCAGCCAAACATCCACCTCGCTGCCCTTCGGAACGTCGAACTCAAACTCGTCCAGAGGATAATTCTCGTCCTCCCAGCTCGCCGCTTTCGGAATCGGCCAGAACTTGTACTTGGCTCGCGGCTGATCCACCGGTGGCAAGGCCTCGTCTTCGAAGTGGATCCGCAAAGATTTGGTGTAGCGGAGGCGTGTGGTGATGAGCTTGATCGCATCTGCTACGGCGTACGGACAGAACTCGCGCTGCACGAGAACGGTGATGTGCGAAAGATGTTGAGTGCCGGCTCGGTTGAAACATAAGCGCGTGAAGAACGGCATCCAGGGCCGTGCGACGTGCAGTTCAACGTGGGTCCACAGATCCGCGTTGCATTCAGCAAGCAGGATCAAGCGCCATTGACGCGTCACACCGGCTAGTATGGACGCCTGCACAGTGGAGTGGCCGGTGGCACAGGAGAGAACCACTTTACGGAATATGAGGCTGAGGACGTCAGCCGGGAGCCGATGGATGCCGGCGCGTAGAAGCTCGTCAAAGCGGGCCAGAGAAGCCTTCAGTGAGGCGTACATCTTCTGCTCCTTGAGATACCGCTCCGAACTTAGCTGCGGAAGAATCGAATTCCACATCGGGAGCTCCAAGTGTCTTCGAAGCGCATTCCGGAACTCGAGGATGGTGGCAAGGTCTCTGTCAGAGCAGGGTCGTCTGTGCAGAGAGTAGAGGCGAGGGAGAATGGACATAAGTGGAGGAGTGCCGAGCAGGTGCAGATGAGTGGCATATTTCTATTTCTTCCTTGGTGGTATTTGTAAAGTTGGCCATTCATCCATTGCTCGCTGGAAAGACAACAATGCCTCCTACGTGATGATGTCACAGACTCTGTGACATGGAATGCGTCCCTTGTTCAATAAGTTACAGCCCCTCCGCAGTGTCTAGTAAGGATGCAGCCGCAGGAGTTTTTTTTGCATATTCTTTCAAGCAATGGACATGCTAGTGAGGCAAAAGGCATGCAACTCATTTCGTCATGAGCATTGCATTCGTAAATGCCAGCCAGAATTTCGCGACTAGGTTCGCTAGTTTAGTGGTTATAACGCTCGCTTTACATGTCGAGGTACGCGAGAGGTCATCGGTTCGATCCCGATGCGAATCAAGCTTCGTTTTTGTTGCCGAACGATCTCTCCCCTGACGTTCCAGGGTTTGAGAAACACTCACTCGCAGTACGGAAATGGTCAAACTCTCAGTGGGAGCACAGTTCTGATGAAGCAGCGCGACGTGTTATATACACAAGATTGGTTCGGGGGTAGAGCATTTGTATGGGGTAAGAGCCAAGGGAGTGAAGACGGGTTTCAGGGACTCCTGCCACGGATGGAACGCCCCCATCACCGTCTCCCCTGAACAGCTTGAGCATGGCGGGAAAGAACAGGGCCACCCTTTTAGTCGTGTCTACGCCGCTCGCGATGTTGACTGAGATCCCAAAACGACGTGATAATGCTCGTACAGCTGCTCCAGCGCCTCGTGATTTGTATTCCAGCCGGCATCGTCTGGTGTCTCTGCCTGATCAAACTGCATGTCCGAGAACATTACGAGGTGCTTGACCATGACCTTCTTGTTTACGCGATGCTTGACCCCCAACGGGAGGAGCCAGCGCCTGAAGAGGCCATTCAGATCCGTGTTCATGCCCCACTCCGCGTGCGACATCTCGCGCGCCAGCTCGTGCAGCCGTTTTTGTGGATCGGGGCGCACGAAGTAAGGGTTCTGCGAGCACATGTTGAAGCCATTGCCGAACGGAGGAGGTGCAAGCTGTGAAAGCAGCAGCGGCACCGCTGCAAAGTTCGGATCGACATCACGGCGGCTGCCTGAAAGAGCACCCATGGACACGGACACATCGCAGACCGCGACTGTACTGTCTAGCGATCCCTAATCGCGCCTGCTGACGAGCGCGTTTCATTGTGCTTCCATGACCCGCAACGACACAGCGCCCTGCTGCACTAACACTCTCTGCATCTCTGGGTATCAGTTGCCCTTCCCAATCATTTGGTGCGACGTTCGGAGGATCTTGGTGACGATCTGGTACGGAAGTAGAGCCGCCTCGCTGATGACCTTCCGGGACTGGTCCACCAACACCAGGAACCTCTCGGACTCGGGGTCATGCGCGGAGAAGTACTCATGATTGTTCTTCATGCGGATCGAGGGCACACGCGAATATCGGATCTCCATCCACAGGTTCGAAGACACGAGCGTCTGCGTGACCTGTGTTGCAGCGCGTAACGGAGATAGCACCTAGCGCTGATAGTACGAACACATAACGTCCGCTGCTGCATGGGAGTCGGGGTCGGCGGACAGCATCGTAGGAAATAGCCTCTCAGGAATCGGGTTCCTCCTTGTTTGATAGATCAGCTGAGCGATTGCAGTCCAGATGTTCGTGACCCGGTCGTGGGCGCCCATTGGACTACGGGGCCTGCTTCGGAGCGACTGATATCTCTCGTAGCATTGCAAATCACTCTGGCCCCGATTCAAGCTTCTCCGCACACAACAAGGTCTGCCACTCCTGGAAAAGCTACTCGGCAGGCAATGGAGCCACAGCGATGAACAGAGCGCGGCATTTCGGATCCTCCGCAAGCTTCGTGACAAGTCGAGCGTGATTCGCAGCACCTCGCGATGCACGGCGAGCCTTGATGAGACCCACGGGATCGGTGTCGAGTGCGAGAGCATTCTAGAACTCTTTTCTCTCCGGATCAGCGCCCGCGTTCCCTGCACATGAATGCAAAAACGACGACAGTCGTGTCTCGGGACCAAGCTCGTCGGTTGTGGCGGAGTCAGGGATGTTGAGCAGATCCCGCCAATATCCGTGGGACGCTGACTTATCACGTTTCGGCACGCACTCAGGCGACAATAGCTGCGGCAGATTCGCGATGGCCGCGCGCGGATGATGCGCATACACCCATCCAAAGGCACTGTTCGCGGATTAGGGAAAGGAGTGGAGGAGTTTCGGAAGCGTACCAGTAGAAAGCCTCCTTATCGTTCTTCTCATCATGAATGCTGCGCATATTCCAGAGAATGTGCAGGGTTAGGTAGGGTCAGGTGAGCGTTTCAGTCCTGGCCTGCAGAGATCATTCACTGGTTGATACTTGTTCAGCACGGATAGACGCACCCGCTCAAGACTGCCTGTCATCTGCTCGCATCCAAGACCATTGCCAGCCAATGAAACGCGTCCAGAAAGGAAGACAGCGTCGAGCTGAACGCCGACGCTCCATCCGCCGTCAGCGTACGGCTCCATGCCGAGTCGAGATCCTAAGCCGCCAGAATCTGCGTCAACCCGTATACCAGCGTAGTGCTCTCCCACTTCCCCCTTCTCGTCCCACTCCCATGCCCCTCCTGGTGCTCCTCTGCAGCCCATGTACCCATCGGCGATTCAAAAGGTGGGAGTAGGCGATCCAGAAACGCAGCGTCGAATAACGCGGGGATGGTATGGAGGGTCTGATTTGTGGAGGAACGCGTCTATGAGACCTGGTGACGCAGCTGCTGGGACTGAATATGGAGCGCCAGAGTCCCGGCGAGATAGAGCTGAGACGCTCTCAGATAGCGCAGCATTGCACTGGCAGGAATCGAGTCCGACACTTCAAAGCGCGATTTCCCGCATTTGTCCTGGCTCGCGGTATGAACGAGTGCGGTGGTTGACGATCAGCGCTTGGAGGCGCAGTATCGACCACAGCAAGACCAAACAAACTGGACGAAAGGTTTCCTCCAGGTTTCCTCACCACGGTGACTGCAAAGCTACAAACCAACGGGCTCTGTCTCAGATGCGGTCATGCTAGCCTGCTCGTGCCGTCTCTGTGCGCCGTGTCACAATCTGGGTCTACAACGGATTTCCACCCGAGGCCTCCACACCTCTGCCTCAAAGCTCTTTTCATGAAATCTCCTCACCGTTTGCTCGCCTGTGTATCAAAATCGCTCAATAATTAGCAGACGCTGGGACTCGAACGCCTGCATGTGATCTCAAGCAACCTTCGCTGGGTCGCTCGGCCAGGCGTGCGCAGTCCAAGCGTCAAACCATGTCGGATCAAAATCTTTATGACCTAGAATAACTCCGGGCTCTTAAAGGGTCCAACTCTGGTTTTTGGCTCAGGGATGTCAACCAAGCTGAAGCTCAAGAACGAACATCGCGGGTCTTTGTCCATGAACGATGTTTAAGCATCACCACGTGACCGGCTAGTCGTCAGGCGGAAATGTCCCTGATCGTTTCACGGGGCGCTCGCCCACCGTCCTTTTTGACCCAAAAATGATCCCTGCACAACCACGTCCTATTTGACATTTAGTGCACCAGAATCAGGGTTTTCAATAATACACAGATTTCCCTGTCCCACTCCTCGCTCGAGATTTGCTGAGAGCTCGCACACGCCTCGCCCGTGCGCGAATGCGGTGCTCCCAAGCCCCTCAGTATAACCCTAGTCATCCGTCCGTTCTTCCCCGGAGAGATCGTCTCCCACCCTTGTACAATCGGACTCAGTACTCGGAAGAAGGAGAGGCCTCGGATCCGGGTCCGGAGATGCCCCGAGGCACAGAACCCTGTTCGCGCATCTCAAAAGATGGATGATCTCGAGATGAGATGGGGGGAGGGGGGAGAGATCCGCGTCTGCTTCTTCGCAGGCGATCTGGGCAGGAAGTGCCTAATCAGTCGGTGCATTGGTTCCTGAAGCACGACTTGAGTGAGGTACAGTCCGGCCGTCGAACCCGGGTTTGAACCCTTCTTAGCCATGTATTGCCAGCCTGAACCAAGGCTGCGGAAACTCGTCTGTCTTCGACGCGATCAGGGCTTTTTCCATTCCCAAGAAGCGTAACCTCGAACCAGTTGATCGCATCTCCCTGTCTGGTCCCGGGTCGTCGCAATCGATTTCCTCCTTCCCGTGGATCACAGCTACCGGAAAAGAAGGGTCCAATATCGTGCCCCTCGAGCACATCTATCCAGGGACCTGGTATGTGCGCAGAAGGCCTAGTGAGCGGCCGGGAATATCTGCGCACGACGCGGTATCCGTCCAATTCGGAACCCCGCGATATGAGCCCGGAATACCCCCAGATGATAGCCAATCGCATCATATCGACATTCTTGTTCTGCTCAGAAGGTAAAAGTCCGTTTGTTACGGATATCGGACTCGCGCTAAGTCTCCGGGAAAGCCATTAATAGGTAATAAGTAAGTACAGTACATGGTCACACATCCCTTGATCGACTGAATCACTCGAAAGGGGGCAATTAGTAAGTGAGTGAGGCAGAGATAGAGTAGGGGGCTACAATCTAAATCGCATGTCCATTGTCCGTTCCATAGAATTCAATTATACATTCGCCCACTCTCCGCCAAACCGCGCATCAAACAACAGACCCGTCGCGCGACTCCGCATACTTGCCGCGGAACGTGTCCATCTCCATCGGCGTGCGCGTGCCCCCGGTCTTCGTGTCGAACACGGCCGTATCCGGCGCGGGCGAGGTCTCGGGCGACAGCAGATGCGGCGTATTCGGCGCCCAGCGGATCGTGCTGAAGCCCGTCGCGGACTGCGTCGACGCGCGGTTGCGCGACGCACCGTCGTCCGAGTCCCAGATCGTGCGGTGGAAGTTGACGATGACGATGATGAGGGTCGGGTACAGGCCCGAGATCTGGTCGCCCATCCCCGCGAAGAGCTCGTACACGTAGATCGCGGGCGAGCTGCGCGGGATGTCGAAGAAGAGGATCAGTTGTGTCAGCTGTGCGGGCGATTCAGTCAGCGGTGCTCTCAGAAAGTGGGTTTCTCGTGCCGCGCACCCAGAATAAACAGTAGATGAATCCGGACTCGACGAGCAGCGCGAGCACCTTGTCCGTCGAGAGTGTGCGGCGTGGGCGATTCCCAGAGGAAGCGGTTGAGTGAAGATTGCGTGTGGACCTGCGGTGAGTCCTGTGATTTCCCGCCCGGTCAGCATCTTCCCCTGCCGCACAGAAACGATCAGACGGACCAGGCTTTCGTTGCGATAAGCACTGTGCATATGAAATTTGTTCCTAGCGAGAAGGCCCAGGACATGAGCTCTGCGTGTGGGCATATATCGCCTACGCCCGCGATGGAGGTGTTCGTGCTGAACCCCGCATGCGTGAGACACACGATATCGGTGATATTGAAGCCTAGATAAGCCCCGTCTAGCTCCTCCGCGCATACAAGCAAACGCGAACGCGACGCACCGAGAGACAGAAGCAGCATGAGACAGGGCATGCCGACGATCCACCAGCGGCCGTGATACAGCACCCACGCGCGCCAAATGACCACCGCGTCGCCGACCACCATCTGCGCAATCAGCACGCGCGTCCACAAGCTGAGCCCCGCCAGAACACGCACATTAAACATAAACAACGCCTCCATGGGATTCCCCAGGACCATCAGCTTCTCGTTCGCCAGGTTAATGCGGTCGTTGACGGACGCGGTCTGATCCTCTATCATAAGCAGCGCGCGCGTCGTTTGAAACAACGACGTGACGTTCAGGGCCCAGAGGGTAAGCGAGGTGGCGTATAGGTAGATCACAACCGCGAGCATGATGTACGAGCCTCGCGAGCGCATCCCTTTTCGACTTGCGAAGAAAAGAAGAGACGAGTCAGCGCCCTCCGAGCAGTCGCACGCCGTACAAGGATGGACTCACAAGATGGAATACACCGCGAGCATAAAAAAGACTCCATAAGCACCTGCACGGGTTGGCACCCACTCCTCAGCGGCCGCGCTCTCGCCCTAGCAGCTCGCCACTCACCGACGAACATCGACTCCCATATCACACCGACCGCGTCTTGATTCAAGTCCCGGCCGAATTTGCTCAGATCGTGCCCCAGCGCCGCAGGGACGGGCAACGACGCATTCGTGAGGGAGGGGTCTCCGGACATAACGCGTTGGCGGAGCGGAGCGGAGGGGGGGTGGTGGTGAGAGGAGGGGGTATGCCAAAAGGGATCGCATATCCCCACCCAGGGAGCTATAAAAGCCGCGCAAAGGGGCCGGCGCCGGCCAGGCGCTCCCACACGACGATGATGATCAAGAAACCCTCCGTGAGCGGTGCCATTGGACGCAGGACGGGGCGAAGGGTCACGTCACGTAATTACCCAGAGCCGTGCCGCGCAAAGAAGCACGCGCCGGGCTCTGCGTAACATTGCACCCGCTCGGCGCGAAAGATGGATGTGTTCCAATGGACTACGCCCAGTTTCCAAAGACCGATTGCAGCGTGGCCTCTCAGGTCTGTCTCCATGATTCGCAGCTGCGCAGCTCGCTGGTTCCACGGCTCGAAGGAGGAAGAGAAGACACACCGGCGGGGTTGAATGCCGGATGGCTGGATGGCTAGAATCTGGAATGAGACGTGCAAGGGAGGAAAGTCAGACACGGTAGGTGAACGTGACAGTGGCAGGCCGGACCCAGGGTAGATCGATCGTGCTCATCGACGGATCGCACGACCAGAGCGCCCAGAAAAAAAAGAGCCTGCCACTCACAGACCGAGTGGAGCCAGAGCGCCCAGACGGGGACTTCGAAGCGCTCAATGATTTACAAGGAGGTGAATGGCGTTTGAAAGCATCTATCATAAAACCTGATCCAGCCCGCTAGCGTGCTCGTTGTGTCGCTGCGCTCGCTCGCTCCACATTCATGTGGGCCGTGGTATGCAGCTAAGCGGTTGGGAAGTATCCAGCCACGCATGGCCCAGCGACGCCTCGAGCGCACACTCGGAGCAGTTTTCTTTCGAAAACGGTGGGACAGAGACAGGCGGTTGTTCCGACATATCGTGTTTTGATCCGTATGTACTGTAATCAATCAATCAATCCCAGTAATTGACTCGGACGTGGAACCGAAGCGCGAGACCTGTATTGCTCATGTATGGCTCCAGCATTGCATGCTGAGGGGCTTATCGGCGTGGTTCATCGCACGCTGGAGCGCCCTGCGATACACGTCCTACCCCCAGGCGAGAGAGAGAGAATCAGCACTGGAGCTCCACGACGGGAATGAACAGCCGACATCCCCAGTCTCTGTCCAGCGAGCGATGCTGATGGCTCCAATGATTCCGAGCAGCCCCGGCGCGCGCCTTGTGCCGAGCCGATGTCCGGCTGGTGTCGGGGCCTGCAGGAACCGCAGCAACGGCGCTGCGGCGTGCGTGCCATGAGTCCGATGCCGGAGGCTCTAGAACACAGCTGTGGTCGTGGTCGTGGAGCCGAGCACAGCGGGAACGATCTTGTTGAGTGGCTCGGCAGCAGTGTTCCGGAGAGTAGCAATAGTGGTAGGTACATGTGTTACATTGACGTCCTACCCAGCTTGTTGGGACACTGGGTGCGCGCAAATGGCTCCTACTCTCTTGCGAACAAAACACTCTGGGTGTGACCGATTCTGAGAGTTCGAGGGATCGATCTGAGCTGGGAGCCGGCGCCCGGCGATTGGAACAGCTCGCTCAGATTCGCATTCCCAACACGATGACGATGCCCTGACACATGCGCACGCTACTGTAGCTTTGCGGCAGCTATGGAAGACGCAACGGGGCGAGCTAGCCCTCAGCTCTCGCAGAGCAACAGCAGGCGGTGGAAATGGAAGTCCGGCTGCAGACCCGTCGTACTGGACGCAGGATGCGTTGCCGCCGTGGGAAAAGACAACGCGCTTCGTTTGCTTGGTCTTGCTTACGCGTCGTCGATCTTCATCTAGCACGTGCACGATCGTCCACGATCAGTCACCGTGACGGCGGCCACCATGGCCTCCTCCACCACCACCACCTCTGCAACGCTCACGAGCCCCTGGCGCTACCTACTCCTCCGCACGACCCCACCCATCGACCCCCTCGCCCTCCGTCTCACGCTTCAAACCTCCCTCTCAGAGACGTTCGGGCTGACCGCCGCGGGCACCCAGATCGACGTGCTCTGGATTGCACCAGGGGAGGAGAACGAAGAGGGGAACAGCGGAACTTCAGGAAGGGCGATTGTGCGTGTGTCGAACTCCGGGTGAGCAGTGCTATCGGCTTTGTGCGTGTGTGTGCGCGGCCGGCTGAACGTTACTTGTAGCGCCGATACGACGAGGGTGCTCGCGTCAATCGCAGCGTCGTCATCTGCGCCGCGTGTCGAGCTCTTAAAGTCGACGGCATTTCTCCCCTCGCTGCTCGTTTGCTGAAAGGATGTGCCGGGGCTTCCAATTTGGATTAGTGTGTCTCACGAAGGTAGGCTTGAAGGTGTTTTTTCCTCCTGTTTCGTGTCCGTTTATGGGGATACAGGTATAGCCTTGCGCTGCAAATCAAATCAAGGCCTTTTGAAGTACGCAACCGCTACTCAAAACAGCCATTTCAACACCAGTCGCATGTTTCGTCCCAAATGACAGAGGCAGACCTCCCAGCGCGATTCGTGGCGGGAATAGCCCTGGTATCGTGAAGGAGTCTGAGCACGGGAGGTTAACCGGGATTCATTCCCTCAAGTGCTCCCTATGACGCCGCCGTTCATGCATGAGCTGGAGGAACATTTCTATAAACTAGTAGATTCCAATCGTGCGAGATGGATAACATGAACTGTGCTGCGCACAGCTGTATTTGGGCAGTATTCTGCTCTCTCGTGATTCCAGATTCGTTCAAATGGATGAGTCTGTAGCGATTCCCAGTCCCTGGATGCATCAATGCAATATGTGCAATGCTCAAGACGTTGTATCAGTATAAGCGAGGACCGCATCGGACCGGGGATCGAGTTCAATCGCCGTGACACATGCCACTCAGCTTTTGTCAACTCCGTTGGTTGTCGTCCAGTCCACCCCAGATCCATCCACTCTGTACACTGCAGACCGATGTTCTTCCCTCGAGAACTCGAGTTCCAGATCTTCGAGAAGGCCGCGCTCAGTAGTCCAAAGGATATCCCGCGCTTCGTCCTCGTCGCTCGCCGTCTGGTAAGTATAATGAGACATTGCAGGATGAATCACGAGCAGCCCCGAAGGCTCCAAGCGCTTCTGTACCACGCTCTCACAGATGCGGTGGACTTGGGCCGGATTCCCTTCATGAACGCACAGAAGATCAGCGACATTCTCGACGATCCGAGCTCGAACGCGTTCGCGCATATCCAGAATGTGATGCTTTCCGACCTACACGGGGACGCACTCGACCGGCTCCTCCTCGCCAGCCCCGCTCTCCGCAACATCTTCCTCTGCACGATGGTCTCGGAGCCCCCGACCCTCGCGCGCCTCATGCACCTCCGCCAGCTGCACTGCCGATGGCTCGACCTCCCGTACGTACGGCGAATGCGTTCTTCCCGCGCTGACGCACCTCGAGCTGCTCACGTCCACCTTAGTCCCCGACGCGCTCTCCCAGACCTGTCCCGCGCTGACGCATCTCGCCATGAACGACGATCTCCCGATCACCCAGCACCTCGCAGACGAGCACGTCTGGAACGCCGCGCCCACGCTCCAGGCGATCGTCCTGCTCTGGGCGCGGCAGGCGGTGTTCGACGCACTTCTGGGCGAGGACATCGCCATCCTGGAGTCGGATGTGCGCGTCGTGGGCATCTTCGTGCCGAATTTCGGGATGGACTGGCAGCGCGGGTGTCCCACGGAACAGAGTTTCTGGACGGCAGCGGATAGTTGGATCGCTCGCCGGCGCTCGGGTGATCTGCATGGTGCGTTAATCTATCGTCGAAGATGCCCCAGCCCACGTTTGGATCTGACTTTTTTTTTCCCCACAGAAAAAGCTTGGGTCGTTGACTACGCGACCGAGGATTAGTGGCATGCGTTACCGTCGGTGCTCATTCGAAATGAATCTGGTAACCCGCTCTCAACCGCGGCTCCGAATGCATCCCGTAGAGAAGGTGAGAAGCAGACTATTCAAACGGTATACGGACGGCAATGACTACAGATACATAAGTGGGGACCAGGGGTGAAAGAGGCTCGAGACTGGAAGGACACATGTTCTCACAAGGGAGAGCTTCTAGGACGTCGGATTTCCCGCCTTCAGACAAACTACCTCCACGGGTCTCTCGTACCCGCAGAAATCTGTCTAGTGGCAACACAGGGAAAGGGATCCATGCCCTAGGAAATTACAATACAATCATTACACAGACAGCATCCATCCTACGCTTCCAATACACGATAAAACTTCACGATTCCGCTCTTTAAGTCCTCTAGCCTGAAGCTCCCCACCTCAATCTTCCCCGGTTGATGGAAAACGCGCACCTTGCGCTTCTTCCCACTCGCACTGTACTCAGACACGATCCCAACCGCCGGTTCACCAGCCCCAATCGACACGGAATACCCGACGAGGCCCTTGTGTCCTTTGAACCGGCAGTCGAAGAACACGGCAATGTCACCTGGCAGGACATCTGTGGTTTGCTGCACCGAGTGCGCCGCCGACTGCGTGTAGACGACATACCCCCACCCCTTTTCCGTATTTCCAATCCGCGCATTCGGGACCATGCCCAGCGCGGAGGACACAAAGTTCCCGTCGCCAGCCGTCTGGCGCTCAAACAGCTGCGTTGCCGCTTCGCACAGATGGACGCCCACACGACCCCACACACCGATTAGCTCGTCCGCAGTCATCGACACAGGCGGCGATGCAGGCGTGGGATGTTGCTGGCTGGACTGTGGGCGCGGTAATGGGGTTGACGCTGTCGCCGCCGATCCAGCCGTAAAGGCGGGGAACGTCGTGTCGATCCCACCGCCAAACGAAGGAAGCTCCCAAGATGGACTGGTCGGTTTCTCGCCACTTGGGCTCGCGTGCTCGATAGTAGGATCTGTCTCTGCCACCGTGTTCGGTTGGGTTGCAGGAACCGGAGGGCGGTGAGACCGACTGGGTATCGGAGGAGGAAGCTCTGGTTCCTCGTGCTCCTCATCGATCTCAGCCTCAGGTTGTGGCGGGACAACGACCGCAGGAACAGCGCGGCCACTGCGGCTAGGAATCGGAGGCGGAATCTCCTCCTCGTCATGGGAGGTTTCGTTGACCTGCTCCACCGCCACAGGCGGGAGACTTGCCCTGCTGGGCGCTGGAGGCGAAACATCCGGCTCCTCGTCGGCTTCGATACCACGCGCATCTTCCGCAGGCTCCGCATTCTCCGCCTCCTCGGTCGGAACCGGACCAGGCGCCATCCCATACCCAATTCGCATTCCGCCCATCCCAGCCAGCTTCTTTGCAATTCGAGCCCTTCTGGCTCGCTCTTCCTCTTCATTCTCGTCCTCCTCCTCGGCCTTCTTCTCTTCCTCCTCCCGCGCAACCGCATGACTGGCTCTCGGCACAGGCGCAGCACCGAACCGGATGCCTCCCAGCTTCGCCATTCGTTCGGCAATCGTCCGCCGCCGCGCTGCTTCGCTGTCTTCCTCGTCGTTGCCTTGCCCTGAACTAGGAGAAGCCGTGTCTCGTTCTTCACGAGGTGAAACCGGTGGTGGTGCATTGTCCTCGGGGCCATCTTCTGCAGCAGCAGAGCGCAGATCCACCATCGACCCGCGCCGTGAAGGGCTATGGAATACCGGGTCGATCGGATCTGCGACGGAGTCGTCAGTATCGTACTTGGAGAGACGACTAAAAGAAGAAGGAAGGAAGAGAACCAGCCAACTCACCTCCTTCATCCTCGCTCACGATTTCACTTTCTGCCCGGTCTTCAAACACAATCGAACTCGGCGAGAGCAAACCATCCGGCCCGCGATATGATGTGGCATTCGGCAAGAGATCCAAGTGCGCCGGCCGTCCTTTGCCAGTTGTCACCATCGTTTCGAAGACGTCTCCCACTTCCTCTTCCTCTGTCGGATAATCTGCTCGCCCGGCGTCGTCATCGACTTCATTCTCGTCGAGCATCATGTATGACTCCTGGCTGTCGCTGACAGCCTCGGCATCTGGTGCAGCAGGAACCGCTCTCGGAGGTGGCGGAACGGACGTTCTGCGCGGTGGAACAGGAACCGAGATTCGACGCGGCGGGGGAGACGGCGGTTTTTCATCTTCGCCGTGGGTAGGTTCCGGGGGAGCAGGTACCGCTCTCGGAGGAGGAGGCACAGACGTCCTTTTCGGTGGCGGGACAGAGATCCGACGCGCAGGTGGAGAGGGAGGCTCCTCGTCAGCAGCGGAGCCGGCCGTCTGGGGAACAGCAGGTATCGCTCTCGGTGGAGGCGGCACTGACGTTCGACGAGGTGGAGGGGGCGGGGGGATCTCGTCTACTTCATCGACGTCCGCTTCCTCTTGCTCTGCTGAGACTAAGTCTGTAGGTTGTATAGGCTCGGAAACAACCGGCGGTGGAGGCGGGAGCGAGGTTCGACGAGGTGGAGCGGCAATAACGGGAGCAGGCGGAGGAACTGAGATCCTTCTAGGCGGAGGGGGTGGTGGTTGTTCCTCCACCGCTTCATGTCGTTCTCGGTCCATACCTGAAGCAATATCCGTAGCTACGTCCACATCAGGAGATTCTACCGGCTCGCGCGTGTCTGCAAGATCTGAGCACTATCTCAGCAAGGCTCCACATACTGTGAATGCATAAGTTCAACTCACCGGCATCTTCAACTCCATCGTCACCCAATGATCTCCCCTCCGGCTGAGTCCCATCATCGACCTCAATCGAAGCAGATGAGTGATCCGGACTGAAGCCGTCCCGCACACCGCCAATCGCACTCGTAATGTCGCCTTCACCGATCCCGACCGAGCCCACCGGCGATGGCATACCCCGTGCACTGAGGGTCTCCCGTGCCGAGGAAGTAGCCGGTGTCGGGGTCTTGACGATATCCGCTTCTCCCACCAGACTACCCCTCTGTGCATGCCCTGGCGGCGTTTGAGGTTCTGGCACGGAGATCGCTGGAACGTCTCGCGCCGGCGGGGAGAGCGGTACAGGTGGAAGCGGTGCAGGCGGAAGCAGTGGTGGCGAGGCGGGCGTCGGTGGCGATGCGGCCGTATCTGTTGCTAGCCCCTTAACATACACTTGCATCGCGACGCAAACTAAAAGCGACGTACCAGGGAGAGCCAGTTCGGATCCAGGGCCTTGGGAATCGCGTTTGCGGGCCCGAGGACGGGGTGCGAAAACAGGTGGGCCCATCCCAACTCGCGAGCCCCCAAGACGCGCCATGCGGGCGGCGAGTGCGGCGCGGCGCTCGCGTTCTGCTTCTTCAGGGTCGGCATCAGCCTCCGTTCCTGGGTCAGGAATGGGTGCTGGCGGCGGTTCTGAAGCGTCCGATAGTGCTGGCGAGAGTATAGGATCGGACGCCGTGTGCGTCGGTTTGTCTCCAGCCGTTCGCGGAGGTGGGGCCCTTTCATCCTCCAGCGCCTGATGCTCCGATTCTTGCTCGGCTCCATCTTCGGGAGCTTTGGAAGGCGGGGGAGACACGACAGGTTTTTTATCTGCAGGAGGACTTGGGACAACACCGAAAGCTCCCCGACCCTGCAGCGCGGCCATGCGCTCCTTCAAACTCCCACCAGCCTTCGTGATACTCTCCCTGGCGTCGCTCACGCTCATGCCCCCTCCACTCCCTCCCACAGCTCCTGCAGCTCCGATTCCCGTCGTCGCCTCACCCTCAGGAGAAGCTGGACGTGGCTTCCATTGTGCGCGAGGTCCAGATCGTCCAGGTGGCGGAGGAGGGGGTGCACCGTCTGCTGGTTTCTTGGTTTCGAATGCCGCGATGCGGTCACGCAGGGATCCAGGCTTAGGTCGTGGATTTGCAGAGGGATCCGACATCGTGCGGTGTACGTGTCGTGGGTTTGAAGATGTTGTCGTTAAGTCGTAGTGGGCGAAAGATGTGGTCGATTTGCCAGTGGCTAGGTCAGCTGATCGATTGATGGGATCAGCTGAGGCTGATGTCATTAGCCTGCGGACAGTAAGATCCTGACGAGCTGTTGTACCAACCACAGTGCAAATCGTCAGAAAGATGGTCAATCATTACATCCCTATCAGCGTTCATTCGATAAAGCTTCTCTTTGAACCTGCTGTGAAGCCAACCGTGATCAGTTCGGCCTTGGAAGCACACCAACCTACGATCGAAAACACAGGCCCAGTAGAGATCCAAGTGAGCTCCAATCTCCCCTATCATATTCCACGCCTATTAGACCTCTTTGAAAGCCAAGGCCTCACAAGAAATAAGAGAGAGAGGAGATATAACGGAGAAGGCCCGTGGATATGTCTCCTTTCCGATCCAGTCTTTTCAGAAATCATGCACGCATTTTTTCTCTGTTCATTATGTAGTTCCTGTGGGTAACAATCGATTATCCCAATTTCCTTTCTGAGGACAGTCCGCCATCAACGGGCTTTGTATTCCCTCAGATTGAAATGACATGTTTCTACTTGAACTGACACTCCTGAACTCCCTACATCTTCAATCTTCAACGCTCTGAATCAGATAGAAATGTAATCCTCACATTTATGTGTTGTGAATTCCCTGTGATTCGAGTGCTGACAATGAATTGCGGCAGGTCCTGTAGATCAATGTGATCAAGTACAGCGTGGTTGATAGCGTTAAGTTGGTCTCTCAGCCTGACTTGGCTCTTTGAAACATTTTCTTTTTTGGGACGATTTGTATACCGGAACACACCGATAGATGTTACTTTAGTGAAGCGTCAATCGCTGCTGTGAAGTAAAACATGTGCGGCATGTTCAACTCTCGCGCCCTCTATGCATCTCAAGATTATAACGAAGCTTTAGTGGTAACCACATCCAAACCAGACCTCTCGTGATCTCCTCCTCTCTCTTCTTGAGGAAGCGACGAAGATAATCCGGTCGTCCTCTCAAACGGTTCGTATCGCGGTCGATAATCAACTATCTAGGCCCGCACTAATCAAGAACATTTAGTCTCATATGTTCTCACGAACGAAAATCACCCACCATTCACCTCCCCTATCTTTCGACGCGCGATCCACGTGTCCGCTGCCGTCCAGAAGCTCTCCCAAGCGACACACCCGTGCTGCCAATCTCGTGCCGCAGCCGGAACAAGCATACCCACTACGTGGGCCGAGCCAGACTGAAGGATACCGATCATGGCAACATCGGCGTCTGGAACAGCGTGTCGTTCTGCTCTGGCGGGCCAGATCAGGATGAGTGCTTTCAGATCGAATCGGCCCATTTCAGCGCAGATCCCGGCTTGACTGAGCCTGACTGGGACTGAGAGATGGGCTAGTGCCAGGCACATCTCGGCGAGCAACGTGACATCGAACCCCCCGCGCCAGTGTGTGAGTTCAAGATGCGTCAGCGCGGGGAGAGTCAGGTTCGGCGGGCCATGCGGGAGATATATCCAGGTGAAGTGCAACTGGCGAAGATGCCTGAAATCAGCGCCGAGAGAGAGCTGATCGACGACCTTGTACAGGATTTAGTTTCACACAGATGTGTCGCACGAGGAGAACACCCGCTCGGTCGGGGCTCCGAACTTTCTGTGGAATAGACAGTTCCGGGTGTCCAGCGTTGCAGGAATGAGAAGACCTTCCATCGTCTTCCCCTCGACGACGGGAATCCGACCGATGACCTTTACAAAATGCTGTAAAAATTCGATACGGTGATTCTGCGTCATTCAGCTCTGTACATTCTCAATTGTAAATGTTTGCGCTACTTTATGCATATATCGGCATATCTCTGGATCTGAGAACCTCTCTGGGACCACGTGGACTGCCGTGATGGATGGCCGGCCAATCATCTCGGATAAACGGGTCGTCAGGTTCAAACATCGGGAGATCATTAGTCAAGCAGAGGACAACGATATTATTCACCTGTACAGTATTCGACATGTACATAGCAGTTCCACAACAAAATTTTCGAACATCGCTGACTAGATTACAAGATTAAGCAAGAACGATGGTCCTTGGAGTTCACTATACTGTGAAAACAGCATGAACGTGTGTTATAATCCCGATCACGGAAGCCGCCGTGTTGATAACTTCTGGCAATCTAGCCGGGATTTATCAGGTGAACCCGCACCAGTAAAAACATAGGGAGAAATAAGATTAATTTGAATGCCTTTCGAGGCCCTGAAGCGTGTCTTTTGCGCTGACGGTTCGGTGATACGCCGTGGGGTAAAATTCGAGAATCGTTCCAGGCTATTACACGCGATGTTATGTCCTGCCAAATTCTACGTGGCATCTTTTTCCTTTCTCGAACATCGCATGGACCCGAGGTGCATTCTCACAGCGTCTGCCTTGTAGTAAGCTTTTGAAAACAGGGTTGGAAATCCATCACCACGCCATAGCCACCGAGATCACGTGGAGGGGAAACGCGCTGATCGCTTACCGTCATCGTTTTGACACTCTGTGTAGGATTTTGACATCGATCTGCCAGCCCCTTTCCCTTTGCTTTTTCAAGTTTCATTGCGCAGGCGGTGCTGGTGCTACGACGGATAGACGCACGGGGCTCGCTCGACACCCGCCGCTCCGACATATCTGCGATCACTGCGCAGACCTCAGGCCGGGGACGATATCAAGCGCATCATCGCAAGTACGTAAAGAGCACACACATTCACAATGCACCCGACCCTGATACGCATAAGCAGCTCGCATCGCGCAGCCTATATCTACTCTACCCCAGAACGTAACGTGGACTGAGTAATCAGACTTTCGACCTTCCCCACCCCCCACTGCACCCCCGCACAGGATGAGTCCCGAGGAGTGGGCGACGTTGCACGGGATCGGGGTCGACTGGGTGCAGGGGTTCGTCGCGATCACGAACGAGACGGTGTGGATAAGTGCGTATTCCTCCGCCTTCCAGGCGATTCCTTATGAGCATTGACTCCCACTCGCCTTCGCCCCCGCAGCCGTGTACGCCATGACAGTGCTGCAAGCCTGCATCGTGCTGCTGCACAAATCGCGCCGCCACGCGCGCACATCGCAGTTCTACGTGTTCGGGATACTCACGCTCTTCGCGTCGGCGGTGGTCCTCTACGCGCTCGACCTCGCCAACTTCATCGTCGAGGCGAAAATGACGCTCGTCGACCACGGGGACGCGGATATCCGGGTCAGGTACGACGGCGCGGTGGGCTTCATCCTGAAGCTGGCCGCGGCGCAGGATGCGTTGTTCGCGTATATGGTGTGTGCCAGTGCTCTTGCACAGATCCCGCAGTGATCTGAAACTGACTGCGCACAGACGATCTTGGGCGACGCGATTATCATACACCGGGTGTGGAAACTCAAGGCCCACAGGTACCTCTGGGTCTTTGTTCTCTTATGTGCCTTGTGGACCGGTGCCGCTGGTGCGCACTGCTATCTTTGTCCCCTCCCTCTATCCCTTACCTTCACGGATCGAAGTGGGGACGTTCATGCTGACGTACTGCGTCGCCACCGTCGGGTCCGGTATCGTCCTCGGTACATTCGAGAATCCTGCATTCTGCCGCAACGCGCAGACGGTCACGTACGTTTTACCCTGCGCGACGACAGCCGTGGCGACAGGTCTCATCGCCTACACCGCTTGGTGAGGATGTCTTACTTCTTTCTGCACTCAACTGAGTCTGTTTGCCGTTGAGCAGGAGATACGCGCGTGAAACACAGCTGCTCACATCCTCCCGCCGTACAAATTCAATCAGGAATCCGATTCTGGAGATTCTGCTCCTACTCATCGAGTCAGGGCTTCTCTACCTCTTCTTCTTTGTACGTACCTCCCCTGTAAGCAGACGTCTTCACACGTACTAAACCGACGCGCAGATCGTCCTGGTGGTGGAGGTCTCTCCGCGGGGCCATGCCTGGATCGACTCGAACCCCGTTCTCTCGCTTGCGTTCAAGATGTACACATATTGCTCCAGCGTCATCGTCGTGCGTCCTCCGTCTCTAACCTTCGCACTGCAAACTCAAAGAAATGGGGCCAGGGAATGTACCCAACCAGCCTCGTTGTGCTCTCGCACTCAAAATACGCTGTGCTCGACAGTCCGACCGCCTCGAGCGTCCTATCGACACTGTACATCGGCGGGATGCACGGCCCGCCGACCACCGGGACCGCTTCTCTTCTTTCCATGGCAGCCGCAGCCGGTTCGCCGCCATCCAAATACACGCCACAGGCGGCGGTGGAAGAGCTCGAGCTGCGGTCGAGGAACCCGGCCTTCCACTCGAAACCGACCGGAGACGCTCGGCAGCGGTCCGTGGATCTGACGACCGTGATCCGCACATCGGAGGTTTAGATTCTAGTTTAGATTCTAGATATGTACTGCGTAACGTTACATCGTCTTATAATCGTTCCCGCTGTACGTGCTACTTATTCTGGGCTATATCCTAACTGTACATGATAACCCTACTTGTCGATAGATTTTCTACGAGGTGAAGCATGGCCAATGGCCAGTCCGTGCCATAAGTAGGGCGTCTGCAAGCATCTGCACGAGCTCACTTTAAGAATCGAATTTTTGAGTCGAGGAAGCATGTCCAAGCAGCTTTGTCCATGGTTATACTCGCACGAACACACCCAGAAAGGCATACACACGTGAAGTATCTCAAAGCTCGATCGAATATTGCTTCAGGCTCACGGATCTAGCTGTCGGTCCAAGAAGAAAATAGAGTTCATGAATTAGCTCAAGCTTTCCTCGAGTCGGGACACCACGGATCGCCGCTCGAGCCTGAATTCACGTGCCGGGGATCGGCAATGGGTCACAAATCCCCGCCTTTCGAGAATGAATTTCATTCAAAGTGAACGAATGAGCTCTCGGAAAAGAAGAGACAGAGTCATAAAGGGGGTCGGTTGTGCGAGATTGCTTGTATGCGTCCCATACAAATTCGTGCGTCAGTTGTGACGCGTGACGCACGGACATTGATATTGGACGCATACATCATCATGTTCATCAAGTTTTTCGCCCGGGCATTTTCTCGCCTAACCACTCGCTCCAAGGCAATGGTCCATTTCTGAAGGCTTGTTGGTGGCCGTGGAGCCATATAGACGCGTTCTGAGATGTTGGGAGGGCCGGGAACACCGGATGAGAGGACGGACACCAACACTGAGACCGCGAGTGAGACCCGGCACGGAGAGATGGAGAGTTAAATAGCGGGAAAGCCGCTTCTCCCGTATTATATCCCTTACGCTTTTCGCAACCCTCTCGTGCCATGTCCTCCCTGGAATCGTTTCTCGGGTGCGGCGGCCGTCCTTCATCTGAACTGGCATCTCACCGTCCGCTGCTGCTACTGCAGCTCCCTGCTCGTAGGCACGTGGCTAAACACGGCTCTCTTCGTTCTCGAAGTGCGCTACGCGATCAACTACCTCCTGCATCCCATCGCCCGTGCCGAGCGGTGGTACGTGAAAGCAACGGTCGCGGCGTGTCTGGTCACGGACTCCATCACGGTCGCGGGGCACTATGCCGCAGTGTACTTGGTTCGTGCGCCTTGGATCTACCTCTCGTCCCAGTGCTGATTCGCCGTTCTCACAGTACTGCGTCACAAATTGGGGTGAGTGCGGACAGTGCCAGTCCCTCGAGCTTCAGGTGGCTTATTGCTGCGTCTAAACCCAGGGAATATTGCATATCTGCCTGGACAGGTGTGTCGTGTCTTTGACTTATTTCTCAGATTGGGCCTCTTATAGAGGCCTCGATAGCATCAGCCTACGCGAGTCTACTCGTTTGCTAGCGCTCTGACGACGTTCATGGTGCAAAATTTGCTTATATACCGAAACTGGAAAGCGTGCGTCCTCTCCCTGCGCTCTCCATTCCTCGGATCTGATTAAAGCGGGCTCTGGTAGAACGAGAATATGGCCGATTGCGGTCTTTCTCTGCTTGTTGGCATGCACTACGGTCAGTCGCATCCAGTACAGAAAAGCCCCTGTGTCAAGGTAAACTGATACACGCATGACAGCTAGGAGCTGTTATTCGCACGACACAATATCCCCAAAATGTCACCAGGGCGCAGGTTGTTGTTCCTGTCGTGTGCGTATGACGCATGCCTGTGCGGATCAAATTTCCTTAGGTCACATTCCACAGACTATCGTTGGTCTCTGCGACGTGCACCGATATTGGCATTGCCATCTGCGTCAGTACTGCTCATTTTCCTCAGGGAAGCGTATCGTGTAATCTCATTCGCGGTAGCTTGTCTGTCAGTTACATTTCATGCACAGCGCAACGACCTTTTCTGGAACCAGGAAGTACAGTTCCCAATCTCTTCTACACTGAACGATAATTGATGCCATCCCGCGCAGTATTCTCCGCACGCTCATGCGCAACGCACTGTCTACAGGAACGATTCTGTCCATCGGCGCGACCGTCCCGCTGATCGCGTTCCTCATCGACAATGCGAGCCCCGTCGTGTGGGTGTTCGGCAACTGCCTCGGGCGGCTGTACACGTTCACGCTGCTGTATAATCTGCACGCGAAGATCGACATGGCGAACGACCAGCGCCTGCGGCCGACGTTCTTCACCGGCTCGATGGCGGGTGGCGGGACGCCGGTGATGACGCAGACGGCAGACATCGCATTCGCGGCGCCGGGTGCGGTGACTGTCGAGCACGGGTATCGTGAGTTGTTGCACGCTTTGTGTTCGTTGATCTGCCGATTCTGATTGAACGTTAGCACGCCAGAGCTTCGGAGCGCCGAGTCATCCGGTCGTGAGGCAGTCGGCTGCACTGCCGCCGATGAGGGACCCGGGTGAGGAGGAGATCGATTCAGAATCTTCGGTGGCTTCCAAAGGGCCGGATGATGCTGTCAAAGAGGAGGTTTGATGTCGGCCATCTTCGTAAAACATATTCTCTCGATCGACGACTCCGACGAGGCGTTGTAATAATCAGGTCAGCCCTGTGTTGATATTCCGAGATTGGATGAGTCACAGCACATGGCTCTCGTCCTTTCCTCGGCACTAAATCAACCAAAGTAACGCCGCAGTAGTGCTTGGTAGCCTCATTAAGACTTTACTATCGATCTGCCGACCGGCAAGGAGAGCCAGAGCGCAGGCAGAGGGACTGGACCCTCACTGTCCTTCTCATGTTTTCGATCCATTGCGTTTAGGCTTGCTTCTGAATCCAGCTCTGATCCCCAACCGACTTTGGAATTTCTGTGAGAGCAAAAATGTGGAGGGCCGCTGCTGCATTTAGCGAACTCCCTTCGTGTATCGGCATGCACTGTCTTGCTCGTGTGAGTCATGCACCAGATGCCATCACGGCCAGAAGCTCCATCCAACACGGCAACCTGTCACAACCTCAAAGTGGAAATACTCACGAACGGAAAGTGAAAGACAGCATCGGGAAGCAAAGCCAAATAAAGGCATCATCGATTAGCCCTGCTACAGGCACAAACGGGGAGAATGAAGGTTTGCCAGCGAGACTGCGATATATATAAATAGCCCATTTTTAGATGTTCGACTCCCCCAGTCAGTTCCTTCAACAAGTTCCGCTGCGTCACCCGGCCCAAAATAAACTAGACTCCACAGGCCGAGTCTATGTCGAACCTGGTTGGACTAGAACGCATGTTTCATCATAAAGGCTTGCTGTGCCGCATATGGACGCCTATTTACACACATTCTCATCATCAATTTGAAAGTCCGCGCTGTCACTGCTGACCAATCCTTCCTCCGACTTTTCACATCTCGGGCCACGCGCCATCGCCATCGCCATCGACAAGCGTGCGTCCATCCTTCGGGCAGCAGAAAGTGACTGAAGGAGTCCCGCAGCAATCTCGCACCGCCGCAGACGATCGAGGAGGAAGAACGAGGAACCAAGAAAGACGACCACACAGCAAGGAACATGAGCCGCCAGGCCAAGACGATGCCACCGCAGCCATCGAGCGTGTCGATCGGCAAGCAGCCCATGGCGTATCCCAACGCACCGGCCGGGGCCAATGCCAATGCCAACACCGCCAGTGCAGGTGGCGGAGGGGGGCAGCCTCGCAGCGCACGCGCCGCGTCAAAGGCGCCCGCGGCGTACCCGCCTCCGGACGCCTCTGCGAATCCTGGCGCCGCCAACGGGGCGAAGGGGAAGGGCAAACCTGCTGCCCAGGCGGCGGCGCAGGCGAAGATCTGGAACACGTCGACGTCAGAGGAGCGGGAGCGAATCCGGGACTTCTGGCTTGCGCTGAGCGAGGCGGAACGGCGGGACCTGGTGCGGATCGAGAAGGACACGGTTCTTCGCAAGATGAAGGAGGAGCAGAGGCATAGCTGTGGATGTGCGGTGTGTGGACGCAAGAGGTGCGTTTCCGCTTTGTTTCAATGTGTGGGCTCCAGACGTGGTGGGGCGGAAGATCGTGTGCATACACCGTCAGCTCTCTCTCTAGCCACAAAGGCACTGAACCCCAATCTTCCCACTTCCGCTTCACTCCGTCTTTCGTTCATTCTAACGCCGTGGCTCACCGAATTACAGATCTGCGATCGAAGACGAGCTGCAAGTGCTCTACGATTCCTACTACGACGACCTCGAGCAGTACGCCATCCAACAGCAGCAGTACCTCTCCTCCCTCGCCGGTGGGCGGGGTGCGCTCACCACCACCAACAGTGGTGCCGGGACCGGAATCGCTGCAGGTAACCCAGGCCAGGCTCAGCGCATCAAGGCCCCACCCGGCCCAGGGCCTTTCCCCGGCAGCGTTGAGGTGGACCGGTATGGCGCAGTCGTGGGTGGGGCAGGTTATCCTCCGCGAGGTGGGTTGTCAATGCTTCTGCTCATTCGTATCTTTGTTTCATTCCTTTTCGTCTATCCAATTTTCTCCTCTGTACCTGGCTTTTGGTCTTTGTGCTACATCTACATACCGATTGTAAAGTGGTGCATAGGTCGCAGGGACATCATTCTACCTCACCCTTCCTTTCCTTGTCGCCTCCCCATGCTAAGTCTCCACAGCCACGCATACGAAATCTAAATCCGGCTCGAAGCATGGCAACGTCAGGACGAAGAAACCGGGATCCAAGACGACGACGACGACGCCCAAATCGAAGCACGGCAAAGCGGGGACGGGGAAAAACAAGGCCAAGCACAAAAGCGAGTCCAAAGTCAAAGCCAGGCTGGACGCAGAGGACGTGTACGAGGAGGACCCGCCAGACGAGGAGGATGAGGACGACGACGACCAGGACGTGGATGAACCACTCGACGATGAGGAAGTCGAAGTCGACGTTATGAATGGCAAGCGCAGTGGGAAGCGTGTCAGAGGCAAGATTGGTGCTGGACGGGGTGTCAATCCCAGCGCGAATGGGGCCATTGACATGAAAGGGAAGATGGCGGCCGGAGTCAGCGTCGGCGGCTCTGGAGGTACGCGTTCGCTTTCTCCATTTCTGCTGTTTCATTCGCCGATCATATGTTCAGGCCCGACATCAATCTTGACTGTTGCCGACGATCTGCTCAAGAACGACGGTCGCAAATTTCTGGAGATGATGGAACAGCTGGTACGTTATGTTCTACTTTGCGAGTGGAGCTCAAGCTTAAGATAACCTCCAATCAGGCCGAGCGCCGACTAGCGCGTGAAGAAGAGGCTGCAGATGGCATCAGCGGGGACGACGACGAGTCAGGCTCATCGGTCGGTGGCGAATCGGACGATGACGACGACGGGGATGACTCGGAGGAGGGTTCCGAGGACCTCGACGAAGAAGAAGATGATGAACAGGAAGTCGACGATGGGGAGTCGGTGTCCGGGACCGATCGGTCCGAGCTTTCTGATGAGGAGGAAGAGGACGACGAGGAAGACGATGAGGATGATGACGACGAGTCCGACGACGATGAGGACGAGCCGCTGACCGAAGATGAGAAGATCAAGGAGGGTAAGCGGATGTTCAGCATCTTCGCCGCGCGAATGTTCGAGCAGCGAGTCCTGCACGCGTATCGGGAACGAGTCGCACAGGAAAGGCAGCTGCAGCTCATTCGAGAGCTCGAAGACGAGGACGAGCGCAAACGGGAGAACGAGGCGAAGAAGCAGAATGTCAAGAACAAGAAGAAGGACAAGAAGAAGTGCGTCGATATGGTGGCTTTCCGTTTGGTGCTTCGTCTGATGACGGGTGATTGACAGGCAGCAAAAGGCCGCGAAAGAGGAGAAAGAGGCACTCAAAGCCAAGGAGAAGGCTGCGGAGGAAGCGGCTGCGAAGGAGAAACAGGCGGCACTGGAGGACGAGCAGCGAAAGCGCCGAGACGAGGAACGTAACAAACGCAAGGCTGCTGAGGACGAGCGCAAACGCAAGGCTGCGGAAGATGCTGAGCGAGAGCGGAAGAAGGTGCGAGAGCGAGAGGAGGCGCGCAAGGAGAAGGAACGGAAGGAGAAAGAAGCAAGAGAGGAGAAGGAGCGGGAGCGAGAGCGAGAACGGGAGAAGGAGAAGGAGAAGGAGAAGGCCGCTGCAGCGGCTCTCGCAGCCCAGCGCGCAGCCGCAGCCGCTGCCAAGGCATCCGCCGCCAACCAAGTGCCATCATCATCGTCCTCCTCCTCTCGGCCGAACGGCATTACTGCCTCCCCGTCATCATCGGCCGTCCCGCCGAAAAAGATCATTCTCAAGGCATCGACTTCCTCGTCTTCATCGTCGTCGGTCATGTCGCCCGCGGTCACTCCCACCCGTCCGACTCCACGGACCGTTGCTCCGCCTACGCCAGTCACTCCGTTGATCTCGCAGGCCGCGATTGGCATTCCGCCGCCGACACCGCAGACGCCCATCGCGGCTCATGCGCCAGTGCATGCATACGCGGCCCAAACACAGAATCCGGCATCTCCTCGAACAGCGTTTTCGTCGTCGTCGTCGTTTGGCGGTGTTCCCTCATTTGGACACGGTGCTCCGAGTGTTCAGGTGGCCCAACATCAGGCGCATCAGATTGGGCATCAGCAACCGATTGGGCATGGCCTGGGAGTGCATCACCCTCAGCAGTCACAGCACAATATGCATCACCATCTCACGCAGCTGCATCACCCAATTGGACACCAGCACCCGATCGGACACAACGCGATCGGGCAGCCGCAACATCCGGGCTCGGAGTGATAGGCCAACACCCGCATTTCGTGGGGATGCAGCAGCAGCAGCATCCAATATCGCTCGCAGCCGGGATTCCCTCGCCCATCGGTCCGCCGCCGAAGCAACTCGCCCCCGGTGCCGGCCGGCGCGCATCGCTGGGCCCCGGCAGCGTGATTGGCAGTGGCATCGGCCTGGCCGTGTCGCCTCCCACACCCATTGGACGACCGACGCCGATCGCTCGGCCCGACATCGGGACACGGATGGGCGGCCGCAACCGGTCTCCGAGCCCGAAGACCCTCGGCTCGTCGGCGCTGTTGGCAGACGACGATGAGCTCGTTGTGCCCGTGCGCCGGGGCGCCAATGTCGGTGTCGGGTGGGGCGTACCTGTTGCCGGTGGCGGCGGGTGGAATCACCCAGGGGGAGGTGGTAGCGGCAGTGTGCCGGGTGGAGGGGGCTTTTTTGGCCGCTCGGGGCAGTGATATGTTTGTTTTGCTGACATAGTTACTCACGTACTTACTGACTCACCCAAGAAGCTAGTACTGTCAGTAGTCAGTCTCCTTTTCTGTTTGTCTTCGCAAATGTCTTTTCGCACGCAGCGTGCAACCGTGTGGAAATCATACCTTGATCTAGGTCACTTGAAGCGGAAAGTTGGCACGTGCCCTTGAGCGGAGGATCTGCACGTGCAAGATGTCAGCTGCACAATTCACGGGCGATGTTCCGGCTTCCCATCGCCTTGACGTTCGTGCAGCTTCGCTGCGATATCCCTCTGCGCGCTGTTGATGACCCTATCCCCGAAGCATCGCGTTCTCTAATATCACGGTTGACAACGCTGACGATCCAAGCGATGGTCGCTCGATGGCCAGGCACTTTATGCCAACACAATGTGACAGGATGCCATCAATAAGCGTTAATGCAACACGTAACGGTTGGCGTCACACAGCTCTTTTCTTATCCTACCAAAGCCCTCCCAAAGCCACGCCCAGTTATGGAGTATTGTTTTCTTGAACTCCTATGGAATGGGAAATGAGGGTTTGACTCTCGGGATATAGCATATCCATGATCATATCGCACCGGTGCTGTGAGGCCGGTGGTCACAACCGACTCTCTTGTCCCATGTATGATCCACAGCTCACAGCAAATGGGGGGCCATGGCGGGGCTACGCCTTTTCTGGAGACAGGGTAGGTGATCATTCAACTGTCGGGCTCGAGGGCTTGGGTCAAAGCGCTGATCCTTGATAAACAAAGCGCGCCGTGAACACATGCTATAAAGAGCGGTGTTGGGTGCACTCACACGGCACCGACCCTCGAAAAGCCCAATTTCGTCTTCGTTTGTATCCACCACACCTGGATTGCACAATGGCCGCTCTGTCGAATGTTCAAGCTGCCCGCCGCTCGAGTTCTTCATCGCGCAGTTCATCATCCTCAGCCACACCGCGCACCGCCGGCACGAGAAATGCACCGCGAACGAAACACGAGCCAGCTTCTCGAGTCTCGCAGTCTACCTCGCCATCGCGAACGAACCAGACTGACGATGCAGCATCGCCGACTCCTCCTGCTCACTCTGCCAGTCCATCGCCGGGGGTGGGATTCGACGTGCGTAAAGCCACCGCGCAGTGTCGGAAAATCGAGGGTTATGTCAGCTTTGCTTCAGTCGAAGGACTGGGCGGGCCACCGACAGGTCAGTCACGGTTCACCCTGTCTTCCTCATCCCCACCCCCCTCGTCCCGGTTCTTTTGGCTGAGTTTCGGGATCATGCTTGCCTTTCTATGTATGTGCTGCATACTCATATACTGCGTTTAGGTCCAGAGGATGATGGGAATGCGGGGGGACGTGGGGATAGGAATGGGAATGGGAGCGCGCAAAGTCCGAGTTTGGGAAGGATAGCGGGGTCGAAGATCGCAGAGATGTTCAAGAATGGGTTGTGGTGACGTTGTCGGCTCTGTTGGCTCGAAGTGTATTGAATTTTTTGTTTCTCTATCAATGTCACCGAGCTTCCTGGCACGTTCGATGCAATTGTACTGCAGGTACGGATAGGTGCTACGAATGAGCAACAATCCTGACTTTGTGAACGTCCCGGATCACTTTCTGTTTGATTCATCACTCACGTGAAAGACGACCAACAAGCTATTCAGGCGTGCGACGCGGTGCTTTGTCATGCGACCACGACTCCCACCGGAACTCGAATACCGGATACTCCGCGAGGTGGCAGTTGGGTTGTTGGGAAGCCGCAAGAATATCATCGCGCTCCTCCTGGTCTGTCATCGCGCACACATTTGGTGCGCACAGCTGGCTAACATTGGAAGACAATGTTCCATACGATTTCGCAGGATCGAACCTGTGTTGTACACCACCATATGCACGTCACACCAGGGCACAAGCAACGCTGTTCTCCGTGTCCTGAACTCTCGCCCGCCACACTTCCTCGCCGCTACACGCCATCTCTTCATCGCGGAGAACACAGACTGGGACTTGCACACGGTGGAACGCGTCCTCGCGAAATGTGTCAATCTGCAGGATCTCTTCATCCCGCAACATCTCTGTCGCCCCTCACTGATCCCCCTCCTCAGTCCGATGCCGCTCGAAAGTCTTTCGGCCTGGCTGCAGCCGCTCTTTGGGCTATCGGAGGGATCTGACTGGTCGGCACAGCCAATCCTCATGCGGCTGCGACGTCTGGAGATATGCGGTCCGATGTTCAAGCTCGCGTCCACTCTCACCCCGCATCGATTCTTTCGCGGGCTCGCGCAGCTCTCAAACCTGGAAACGATCGCCTTCCACGGTTCGCTTTCGGCGACCGATCTCAGCCATTTTCTCTCCAATCCGCAGGATCAGTTGCATATCGTTGCCGTGCTTTTCAAGTCTTCTTCGAATAGGGTGGCTCAGCATATCTTGCACGACCAGTTTCGGATTGTACGGAGCGATAGATTCGTGCTGACATTCGAATACACGGCGTACGACGAGGACTGGGAGAAAAGGGTGACGGGCAGGCCCTGCTTCTGGGACGCGGCAGATCGGTTCGTGAGGCGGAAACGCATCGGGGATGTGGTTGGTGAGTTCGGTTCAGATTCGATAGCCGTTCGTGGTGCTGCCTGACTCACTGAGAACGGACTAGCGAGTCGTCGGATTCTGAGCAGCTGGAAGTAGACATCCATCGCTGTCATGGTTTCGCCCCACTGTACTGCATGTTTACTTGCAATGGCCTACCAATATGCTGGTGCCAATCAATGATGAACGAGCAACAGGCCCTTCCATACCTCTTATCTGTTCTAATTTGAACATGCGATTTTCTTGGTTCTCCTCTCCCTGAATTTCAGGCATATTACTGATTGCGTGAGATGCTCTCCTGTAGAATAACAGCAGCCCATAACCAGGACTAATAATCCGTTGCGCATCGGTAGTCGTTGCGTTTCACTTGCTCACGATTTTCATTGGGAGCGGGGAGGCGTGATGTGCCACGGCAGGTAAAGCCGATACCGTCGATTGTACCAGGCTGAAACTCATTCGATCGCAAGTGTGCCGTCTTGTGCCGTACAGCATTCCTGTCGTATCTATTTTCCACACATGTCTTGACTAAGATGCATGCATTTCCTGGTTCCTGGAGCCAAGGGAATTGCCAAAAAAGCCAAACATTTACTTATGAACGCATGATTCCATCTCCAGAAGACTGGCATAGGATCGACAAAACTTGTTTCGACTCGATCCGAGAGGAGGATCCAAGCGAGGCTTCAAAACTTGATTCGCCTCGGGATCGAACCGAGGACCTCTCGCGAACATAGAAGACCTAATCGAAAGACATGTACTTTCCTGTGAAGCGAGCGTTATAACCACTAAACTAGCGAACCATGCTGAGTCAGCAGGACCTGGGTGTTCACACACCGTAAGTTGTGCATTAAACAGATCCGATACGTAAGTACAAGGAAACTGCTGCATGCAGAATTGAAATCGCGCATTGCGTTGCGGGGCATGTGTGTGCACATGGTATCCGGCATTCTAGCTTCGTACGGCCTAGGCATCAAATCCATCGGAGCTATTCTCCAGCTCAAGGCCCGCCCCCCTAAGCTATTGCACGATACGATGGGCCCTGGATGTATTTCGATTTCACTGCCGGTGTTTGTCGTTTTTCTCTAGCATACATCACAGGCTGATAAGTATACGTACAGTAGACAGGGCCCCGCTGTCCCGCACCTGCATTCATGCATCCATAATATATATCGGCGCTCGAAGATTTACACAGTCAAATAACCCAATAAATAAATACCTAACATACATACACAGCCGGACCGCACACACAGCTCACACCTCACACATCCCCATCCCCAAGCCCCACATTGACCTTCTCCGCACTGCGCGACACATGGCCGTTACTCCGGAGCCGCAGCTCAAGCCCGTTCCCCTCCTCGTCGAACTTGGTCTCGCGGTCCGCGAGGCTGGTGACGCCGCCGGAGGACGTCGCGCCGATCGTGGTGGAGGTGATGCCGGCGGCGTTGACGGCGCGGATGTGGAACGTCGAGATGATATCCGTCGCGGGGCCGCTGTCGAGCACGGCGTACTTGGAGTGCGAGAGGACGACGAGGCTGGTGGGGTATATGCCCTGGAGGTGGGTCAACCATATTAGCTTCGCGGCTCGTTGGGTAGGAATGGGGGTGGGGTGCGCACGATGATGACGCTGGAGCAGTACGTGTAGATCTTGAATGCGAGCGAGAGGAACGGGCTCGCGTCGATCCACGCGTGCGGGATCGGAGCGACCTCGATCACAAGCGCAACCTGCGGGGGGCTCAGGACCTGCGCGCGGCGGAGGGGACGCAACGCACGAAGAAGAACAGGTACACCAGGCCGGACTCGACCAGCAACAGCAGGATCTCAGCGACGGGATTCCGCGCGCTCGTGCGCCGGGACGAAGTCAGCAGCTGCGTCGCATGCGCGTACCGCCTGCCGGGGGGTTCAACAACCGTGCATGGCGTGGATCGCGTACAGGGAGGGGGGACACGTACCACGCGGTGAGGGCGATGAGCACGGTGGCAATCGCCGTGGTCGCACACGGCAGCACGTACGTCACCGTCTGTGCGTTCCTGCACAGGGCCGGGTTCTGGAACGTGCCGAGAACGATGTCGGAGCCGACGACCGCGACACAGTACGTCAGCATGAACGTCCCGACTGGGTGGTAAATCATTCTTCGATCAGCGCGCGTGGGGTTGCTACACCAGGAGAATTGAATCACCTGCAGAGCCGATCCACGCTCCGATGAGAACGAGGAAGATCCAGACATAGCGGTAGGCTCTGAGCTTCCACACCCGGTGAATGATGATCGCGTCCCCCAGCAGGGTCTATCTGCCCGTCAACGGGGACGGAATTCTCCTCGATGGGAAAGCTCACCAGATACGCGAAGATAGCGTCCTGCACGGCCGCGACCTTCAGCACCACCTTGAGCGCCTCGCCGAAATTCTCGCCGATATCGCCGTCGGGGTGGAGCACGAGCGAGAGCTTGGCCTCGCTGATGAATCCGACCATGTCGAGCACCCACTGCACGATTGCGCCGAAGTACAGAATGAGGATGCCGAGCAGATAGAACCGGGAGGTCCATGAGCTGCGCCGGGACTTGTCGCTGGAGGGAGGGATAGTCAGGGGTTATCACCAGCTACGAGCGGGAGCGGATGGAGGAGCGGCGGACGCACAGGAGGAGCACGCAGGCCTGGAAGACGATGATCGTATAGATCGCTGCCCTTGATCAATATGCATGCGACTGGTGTCTCTCCGCCGCGACCTACTTATCCACACCGTCTCGTTCATAATCGACACGAATATCTGGATCCAGTCGAGCCCGAGCCCGTGCAGGGTCGCAGCTTCCTCGGGCGTGAGTTGCGTCATGGGGGAACTAACTGGGGGGCAGAGCCGTCAGCGCAAGCAGAGCTCTATTTGTATCGGGGATGCATGAGAGAGAAGTCCCCTCCGTGGCATGGGATAACACACCTGGGTCAAGTGGAGATACGATGACGATCTCAGAAGTGATCCCCCGCGCGCGCCCTTCCTTTCTTGTCCTCCGCGCAAAATCACGTGCAAGCGTACTCGTATACGAAGTGTTCCCGCCCCTCCAATAAGCGACGCCGAGCGTGCGGTCGTTCGACGGTTCGGGCAGACAACGGAGGACGAGCGCGAAGAAAGAGCAATAAGCGAGACCAGCGCACCGCGTGCAAATCAGGGTCCCTGTCAGCGGTTGACAAAGAGCAGGGATGGGACAGATGAAGGACGTCCATCCAAGTTCTCGCGCATCCCTGCAAGTCAGCCAACCTGCGGCTGCAGCCTATCAAGTGCGACGAGATGCCTACCGCCGATAAAAGTAGATTCAACAATCAAGACGACGTATGTAGTGGACTGCCAGGTGCGGGTCCTGTGCGGACGGGCCACGTCTGGGCTGGTGCGGTGCTGAGTAGATGGCTGTCAGCATGGGATATAGAACCGATACAGAGGCGCCAGAGCCATGGAGGTTCAGACTACTTTCTGGGTAAGGAAGCAGCGCGCGTGATCAGGGAAGCTGATGACCGGTACCGAGGAACTTGCGAGTCACGTGTGCTTTTGCTGTCGCTTCAGCCAAGTATGGTGTGCTCTGCAACACACACTAGATGGGCCGAACAGCCAATGCTACGGTCAAACTATCTCACAATCACGCAGATTAACCGATGAATAATCCATTCGAAGACAGCTATGTGTGCATAATAGGGGAAAGTTTCTCGAATGACCGCGCGCTCAATTATACCTCAAGGCGCCGGAACTAGAGTCGTCAACACAAACCCGACAAGGCCCAACCACCACGACATCGACTGTACCCGCCACGCAGCCGAAGCCTTCGACGACGTCGTTGTAGGCGCTGTGGACGTCGTCGTCAAAACGGTGCTTCCTCCTGCCGTCTGCGCCCCACTCCCAGTCGTCGACGCCGACGTCTGAGTCGCTGCCGCTGTCGCCCCGCTAGAAGCACTCGATGACGCTGCCGACCCCGCACTGCCGCTGAGGCCGACACACGGCGCCTGCTGCGCGACGAAAAACTCGTCCGAGAGCGTGCTGAACGAGCCCGTGCTTGCGGGTCCCGTGGCAGTAAAGTTGAGCCGGAGCTGCGCGCGTGAGCCTTTAGCTTTAACCTCTTCACGGTGCGTTACGCGCGCTGCGAGCTCACCTTCCACGTCCCCGGGAGCACTGTCACGTTTTTCGTCGCGTACGGCACGATGCTGGGATCGATGATGATGCCGTGGTTGACAGCCTGCGCGGGCGTCGCGAAGCCCGTGTCGACGTTCACGGCCTCGAGTGTCGGATTGACCATGTCGCGCAGCTACACCGCGTCCGAAACACCCAACTGGTCAGCAAGCCGGTTGTGCCACCGCAGAGTCTCAACGAGCTCACATCAAACAGCAGATCCACGAGCGTCAACACACTCCCAATCAGACCGAGCGTCCCGCCCAGATCGGTCTGCGTGAACACCGCGCCCGCGGCCGGCTGCGTGAGCCGCACGGGGCTGTACCGCGCGTCCGCCAGGCCCGTCACCGGCACGTACGCGCCCGGCGTCGTGCACGCGAAGGTCTCGTCCGCGAGCGTGATGTTCGTCGTCACGGACCGGAATGTGACGTTCGTGCCGGTCGGGCTGACGGTGCCGTTCATGCGGATGTGGTACAGGCCTGCGGGGGTCTGGCCGCACGTGTGTGTGAGCGGGCGGGATCTGGTTTTAGAGGGTCGGGCGTACGGAGGAATGCACGAAGTAGGAGAACTGATTCCCGGTTTGTCGGCCTTCCACGCCTGCGGAGAGCTCGCTGAGTGGGCTGAGGAACTCGTCACCACAGGTTCGCACCGATCAGATCAGCCACCGTCTGGCCGTTGTCTGTCCACTTTCTCAGCTCACAGACACGCAACCCACCCGTTTTCACAATCTCACCTTCCGATCTCCCCGCCATCAGCTCATACGTGATATTTTGCAGCTGCAACAAATGAGCGCGCCGCAAAAAAAAAAAAAAGTGGGGGGCCTAGACGCGCACCGAGTGTCCCTGCACCGCGTCGAAGATGTACGTGAAAACCACCGGGTCGAGTCCCCCGAAGGCCGTCTGGATCGTGTCCGGGACCGTGATGTTCGCGATTTTGTCGCTGCCTTGCGCGAGCGCAAAGCGCGCGAGGACGAGCACAAGCGCCGTGGCGACGTGCATAATGCTGGGGGCGTTCGGCTAGCTCACATCCCCAAGACGAGTATGCATACTACTTATAATACTGTTGCGTGTGAGCGTATAAAGCATCTGCCCCACGTTCTGCGCACTGTGCGACAGTCTGATGGACAGATGAACCTGCGGTCAATTTCGTTTGTCAACGTCACTATCGCACCAGGTTGGCTGGGTTCCAGGTCCGCTGAAGCCCCTGGCTCATATGAGCAGGGGACTCTGCGCGAGGAGGAGCCCAGAGCCAGAGCGCAGGCCAACACCATCCGGGGTCGATGTTGTTCTTCTGCATTGATGATCACAGGAAGCCGCTCAGAAGGGCAGGCACGTCACCCACGATCGGAAACCTTACGACAAGCGAACGTTCCACGCTGATAAGCATACATACATAAGTAGTCCTCAATCACGAACTGTCCATCTACGTGTCACCCGTCGTGCCACATGTGAGTCATCATCGTTGGAACGACTTTCCCTGCTTATGTAGAGCCCGGACTGCCGGGTGAGAGCCAAAAACAGTGCAGTGCCGGCTCAGGTTTCAGTTCGATCACACAGGTTGTAATATTACAGCAGTTCCCGAAAACCTTGAGACTCACAAAAAAAAATTTGTATGCGTAGACACGATCGATCTTTGATGCCCTCCCTGTCTGCAATAAGCGGCCGAAGCGAGCTAGGCTCGGCTCGGCTCAATGCCTTTCCACCATATCAGTTCCCTGCTTCAAGACTTGCCAGAAATGTATCTTGACGAGATCGTGGATTGGATTGCAAGAGATGAAATGGCAAGGGAGGAATGGATGCACACCGTCCAGACGACATTCCTGTCTTCAATGATGGTGACTGTCGACGAGTCTAGCAAGGATGGCAGAACTATCTTTACTCGCTTCGGCCGCTTATTGCAGACAGGGGGGGCATCAAAGATCGATCATGTCTATGCGTACAAAATATTTTTTTCGTGAGTCTCAAGGTTTTCGGGAACCGCTGTAATAGCCCCCGAGAAATACCAACCGCTTGTGAATTCCTAAGCGGTCCGGGTTCATCTGGAAGGATGTGCAACACGGGTAAGGACTCTGGGAAAGTCCTACATATACACATACGACTCGCAGAACCTGGAGTTCATCTAGTCGACATGACAACACCTGAGCGAGCTTTATTATGGAATGTTGAGCACTGGGGAGAGCGTCTAGCAACCCACCTGTGTGAGTTGAGAGCTTAGTGTGGGCACTATGCGGGAGTAGTCAAGAGACTTGTATTAAAGGGTAATAGAGCCCTCCTTATATATGATACAGGGGGCCGTTTGTGTCTATTTGGGACGAGTCGATATGACTCTAGATGACACGTGATGGAGTCATAGATATGTATCACAACATCCATCTTGACAGATGATATTTGATCAACACTCCCCCACGCTGAAAACCACGGGATAGTGTTTGAAAGCGAAATCTTCATCGGCCATTCCTTCAGGACGAGTTGAACTCAAGTCCTAGTTGAGATCTGAACTTCTCGAACTTGACGCGTCCTAGGTTCTTGGTGAACATATCTGCAGGATTCTCACTGCCCGGAATAAAGAACAGTTCAACCTCTTCTTCCTCGACTCGCTCACGAATGTAGTGATAGCGGATGTCTATGTGTTTCATCCTGCGGTCTCGGTAGGCATTGCTGCCACTGAAGAGTGCACCCTGATTGTCACCGCAAATGGGTACTGGGATGGTGAGTTTGAACTGGAGTTCCGAAAGGACGCTCTTCAGCCACATCACCTGGCGACTACAATCTGAAATCGCCATGTACTCTGCTTCGGTCGAAGACTGCGCGACAGTGCGCTGAAGCCTAGACTGCCAGCAAATAATCCCATCTGCCAATTTCGTGAAGAAACCAGTGGTAGACCTCCTCTTGATCGGATCAGCAGCCCAGTCTGAATCGCTAAATGCAATGAGCCCTCTATCCGTCGCACCATTGAAAATGAGCGAATAATTCCTAGTACCAGCCAAATAGCGGCAGATATACAGCGCTTTATGGAGGTGGTCTTGGGACGGATTGGCAGCAAATTGTGATAATTTGGTCACAGCAAATGCAATGTCAGGACGTGTGCCTAGCATGATGAAGAGAAGAGATCCAATGACTGATTGGAATTTCTTTCTGAGCTCTGGATCGACTTCATCCTCATTTGGCATTGGAACATATCCAGCCGGTAGAGGGGTCGCTGCGAACTTGGCGTTCTGCATCCCAAAGCGCTCTAGCACCTTGTTGAGATAAGGAATCTGATCAATCTTGATCGAAGATCCTACTCTACTGAGGCGCACGCGCAAGAACTCTGGAGTATCTTCAGAATTGCGGCATTCCCATCGCTTGTTGAACTCAGCCTTGAGAAAGGCGAGGAGCTTCTTGTTCTTGGAGAAGAACAGTGCATCATCCACATAGACTATTATGACGGCTATGCTGCCATCAGAGTCCTTGTAGAAGAACACACCGGCATCCGATGTTAGTCGGATCCAGCCCATGGCTTTCGTGGACTTGGTCAGCGCTTTCCACCATGCTAAAGCAGCTTGTTTGAGTCCATAGATTGCCTTGTGCAAGCACATGACTTTGCGCTCTTGGCCTCTTGCCACAAAGCCTTCGGGTTGTTCCATGTAGACCTCTTCGTCAAGTTCTCCGTAGAGAAAAGCCTTACTGACGTCGAGTCCAGACCAATGCCAATCATTGAGCGCTGCAAGCGCCATGACCAACCGGAACGTCTCATACCTGACAACAGGAGAGAATATCTTGTCATAGTCAACTCCTTCGACTTGACTGAAACCCTTGGCAACTAGGCGGGCACGTTTTCGGCCATCAGATTTTTGGTCAAAGACCCAGCGACATCTGATAACCTTCCGTCCTTTCGGGCGGTCCACAAGGGAATAGACCTTGCGCTGACGAAGTGCCTCTAACTCGTCGCGGCAAGCATCAATCCAACCTTTCTGTTGTTCAGAAGGCAACCGCTTGATATCGCGGAACGTCCAATCGCGAATTTTGGACGTATCAGGTAGGTTCTCATTTGGAACCGCTTTCGACAGCAGCGCCGTGATGAGCTCTACTCCCCCTTCCCGGCATAGCTTCTCCATGCGTGCATCCTCGTCTAGATCATCAGAAGCACCCGCGTTTGAGGAATCTGGTTGCGAGCTAGGGCCGGGAACCCCTGCATCAGCACCGGTTGATGGTTGAGATTGGGAGCTACCCTTATCTTCACCAACATACCGCTTCCATCCTCTGCTGTTCTGAATGTCACGGACTATATCCGTAGGGTGACGCTTTTCCCCATAGACGTTTCCTGGACGTGTAGGCACATTCCGCTGGCGTGAAGACCTTCGAGGCTCAGGAGCTGGTGAAGCTGCCCAACTTGGTCGTGGAATTCTGCTCTTTCGAGACCTCTGAGGTTCATCCCGACGCTCTGGCGGTGGGTCCTGACAATTATGACCGTCGTCACCATCATCATTTCCTCGTACGGGAGGTGGTGGAGCCGGATCAGATGGCATGGGAAATGGAAAAGGATTATCTCCATATAGCCAATCTTCTCCGTCTACCTGTGGTGGATCTTGTGGATTCACTGGGTCATCACGTTCTGGAAATTCCTCTCCAACAGGAACGTGGGGTGGTCGATTGCTGTCAGGACAGCGGGGGAACAACTCCTCGTCGAATAATGCCTTGGTGGCGACGAACGTGGAATTGTTTGTGCGCATGAATAAAAATCCTTTCACACCATCAGGAATGCCCAAGTAGGTCATCAGCTCCGATTTGGGCGATAACTTGTTGGCGCGCTTCTCATCAGGGATAAAGACATATGCAGCGCAACCAAAGACTCGGAGTTCGGAAACATCCGGTTTTTCCTTGTGAAGAGCTTCAAATGGAGTTTTCCATTTTAGACGCCTGATAGGTGTCATATTGTAGATCCGTGTCGCATGCTTGATAGCGAATTCCCAATAAGAATTAGGAAGACAGGCAGTGAAGCGCATGGCTTCTGCCTTATCCATGATCGTACGATTGAAGCGCTCGGCATGCCCATTCTGCTGATGAGCATATGGAGCACCCTTCTCCACTAGAATTCCTTGTTCCGCGAGAAATTCTTCCATTCCCATCCCCATGAATTCTCCCCCATTGTCAATATGCCACTTTTTGATGGTGACATTGAACTGGTTCTTGACCATCGCAATGAAATTGCGCATAGCCTGCTTGGCATCGGATTTCTGCGCAAGGCATACTGTCCAGCCATATGAGAGTGCTTCGTCGAAGAAGCTCATGAAGTAGCGGTACTTGTGATAAGACACCGTGGGAAATTGTTTGAGATCCGAGTGGATCAAATCAAACGGATTCTCCGCTCGTTTTTCGGAAGGCGGGAAGGCACGTTGGTGCATTTTCCCTTGCGCGCATCCTTTACACGGTCGGGTTTCCTCGGGAAATACTAGGTCTTCTGGAAAGCCCTTGGTATTCTTCTTTGCCTGACGTAAAACGTCTTTCGACGGATGTGCAAATCGCCGGTGCATGATCTCATAATCCACCTTGTAAACAGTGGACATGGATCGCACTGTCTCAGCCGTACTAGGCTTTGACATCAGGAAGTACAAGGCAATGTCCTTCCCTAGAGTTCTAAACTCCATGATCGAGAGTGGGGACTTCCCTCGATGTAAGCTGATCCGCGATTCGTCTCCACGAACGCGAGATCCTCCTTTGAGTAAGGAGCCCAAAGACATGAGACGACCATGTAATCCTGGCACTAGGTACACTGGATATATCTGAGAAGTCACCATTGTCTTTTCTCCATGCCTTGTGACGTAATGATCGATGAAGGCTGTTCCTCGACCAATAAGGGCAACACGTGTGTTCTTATCAGCGGTCTGAGCAACAATAGGATCTGAGAGCTTCTCATATCCGACCAGATCACTAATCTCCGATGTCACATGGAGAGATGCACCTGAATCAAGAAGCCACAGAGGCCCTAATTCATGATGATGATGATGTTTCCCCTTACACTTAGAGCAGGCAGCAAAATCGGAGTGCACACAGAATAGATTGGTACAAAAATCATGCGAACGAATCATCAACAAATTAAGTACAGAACCCGGGGCGGCGGTGATTACGCGCTCTGGCTGTGAGCAACAATCAGAATTGTGCATGTGCCCAAGAAGGCAGGGTACTTGCCTTTCGGCGGAAGGAGCGTCCATCTCCTCCAGAAGGGTGTTGAAGTCGACAACTTCATCCCAATTGACCGGTTCAGCCTGGGCGAACTCGCTATCTCCAAACAGAAGATCAAGATCGTTCTGTTGGCCGGTGGCCATCTCGACGTCGGGGATCTCCTCGATACGACTGCGTTTGGCAGGAGGACCACCATCCAGAGTGTGATTCGAGCCGGAAGCAACCGGAGATGGAGAACGCATGATTGCATCCTCGCGGAGCATTCCTTTCTCATTGACGATCTTGTCGAGAGTCCGGAAGCGTTCTGCGGTCACCGTCACATCCATCTTCTTGGCCAGCTCGAAGACCTTACGAGTAGGCTTCTGGAACTCGGTGTCAATAATCCCATTGTTGTTAACGGGAGACTTCTCTTGAACCGCGCGGATTTTGGGTCCATCGCGAGAGATGTGCGTGACATGCGAGATCGTCGGCGCAGGGATAGACGGAGTGAGCGAGGCGATCGATCCAATAGTGAGGGAGCCAGTGATCTCGGAGACTCCATGGACATGACTGTGATCAGCCTTGCCCTTGCCCTTGTTGTCCTTGTTCTTCCCACTGCGCTTGCCTGGACGGTTCTTCTTCTTTCCATCAGCCTTATCACCCTTATCGGGTGCAGAGCCAGAGCCCTGTTGCTGATTGGTGAACGAAGGGTCATCGCGCTTGCGCTTGGTATTGAACTTGGCCACATAATTCTGGCTTTGAGACTGCTTCTGAGCAAAATGCGTCAAGAGAGCGTCACGAACCGCCGAGACTTTGATCTCGTCCTTTTCATAGGTCTGGAGAACAGTCTCTGTGACGGAGGGAATCCGGGCTATGTTGAGAATGATCATCGCTCTGAGGAACTCAGGGATGCTCAAAGACTCATTCTCCAGGCGAGCGAACGCCGTAGTGATCACCAGCAGCTGTGGATCCGGGTGCAACCCCACGTTGTACTTGGCGTTCAACGCGGTTTGGAAGTACGCATATAGGTCGGCGCACTGAGCACCACCGTATTGGGTCTTCAGATGCGCCCAGATCTTGGCAGCTGACACTATATCCGCAGGAGGAATGTTAGCAATGACTCCCTCAGTCAGGCGCAACTTAATGCTGCCTTTGGCTCTGAGATCATCATGCTTCCATTGTTTGATCTCCGATGCGTTGGTCACAGAGCCATCGGTAGCTTTGACTTCGGTCGGCGCCGTTTCGGTCAGCACATATGAGATCCCCTGATGTTCCAGGTAGGACTCCATAGTTCCGGACCATACGAGCCAGTGCTTTCCATCAAAGATGGAGACAGCACTGAAGATGTTGTTGGAGTTGGACGACATATTGATCTGTGTGAGTTAATCAGCATCAATCTAATCTGATAGATAAAATCAAAGATCAAGATGATCAGATTCTCATAGATCATAATCTCCTTGAGAGATCGATGCATCTGGATCAAGCGATGTAATCGCGATCCGGCATGGTTTCACCAGCGCTGTGCAGCAGCTGAAGTGAATACAGATAGGCTAAAGACGCTGCTCATTGTTGCAGCCAGTGACGGCGCATACAATGAATGTCGCGGCCATTGAGGCGCAGACATAGCTCTCGGGGCCCATAACCTGTTGAGCACTGGGGAGAGCGTCTAGCAACCCACCTGTGTGAGTTGAGAGCTTAGTGTGGGCACTATGCGGGAGTAGTCAAGAGACTTGTATTAAAGGGTAATAGAGCCCTCCTTATATATGATACAGGGGGCCGTTTGTGTCTATTTGGGACGAGTCGATATGACTCTAGATGACACGTGATGGAGTCATAGATATGTATCACGACATCCATCTTGACAGATGATATTTGATCAACATGGAAACTGGCTCCATGACATCGCCCCCGATAATGCGGCGAAATGCTCGGTGCTAGGTTGGACAATTTTTGGTGGAGATTGGGTGGAACACCAAGCCGAAGATGATAGGTGGTTGGACAAAGCTAGTTTGAGTGATGGGTGCCGCACCTCGGGGTTACAGTAGGGTCGGACAATATGTAGCCTGGTTGAATAGCACTTGTGCCGCCCATTGCTCATGTGACTCTTGAATCGACCCCAGCTCAATTCTACTATGCCTTACATGCTAACTTTTATTCAGTTTTTCAGTTGTCATGCGTGTTAGCTTGAGAAAAAGAAAGGGACCCATTGACGGGTTGGACGAAAATTCCGGAGCCTGTGGCCTATTGGAAAAACGCGGGGGCGTCGGCCCATATTGAGGCTGAAATTTGGGCGCATTATTGAGAATCATGCTCTGCTGTGTGCATACCGCAAGAGCGGACAAGTGTCTCGATGCAAGCTTCTGCCACCACAAGCACGCCTCAGATGCCAGAGAAGAGGGCCGAAAGTACCCGCACAACACCTTGATTGCGAAAGAGTATCACACGATCTGTTATTCACGTATAGGTGCAGTGCAATAGCAGTGGGTATGCTACAATGGTCAGTAGAGCAGTGCTCTACGTGACCATCAAACTTAACGGAGATACTCCGGTACCGGACACATCGAGTCACGGGCGGAGGGTTCCGAGAGTATCCTGAGGCGTCGACCCGTCAGACAACAGGAGGGACATGACATCTGGTAATTTGGGCGACCGCAGCAGCCCAATGCACTGCACCTCATCTCTTTCTCTCGCCCGACACCCTAGTCCTCAATACCTACCACATAGCGCTAACGATGGCTGCACTTGCAAATGATTACGACTATATTTTCAAGGTTGTCATTATTGGAGACTCTGGAGTGGGAAAATCGTGAGTGTGCCGTGTCAGCTTGGTTTTAACGCCTACTGAGGCATGATGCAGGAATCGTGAGTCCGAGCCATTATCTAGCCCGTTGGACGCATGTGCAACCAACGCAGTCCTCTCCCGCTTTGCGCGCGACGTATTCGCCTACGACTCGAAATCCACCATCGGCGTCGACTTCACGACGCACGCCATGCTCATCCCGCCGCACAGAGTGGCGACCCAGCTGTGGGACACCGCGGGGCAGGAGAAGTACCGCGTCATCACGGCCGTGTACTTCCGTGCCGCGGCCGGCGCGCTGCTCGTCTACGACATCACGAGCCGCGCGTCATTTTCCGCGGTCGAGCGGTGGCTCGGCGAGGTGCGCGACTATGCGGACGCCGGCGCGGTGGTCATGCTGGTTGGGAACAAGACCGATCTGGCGCATCTCAGGGCCGTTTCGACAGAGGAGGGGCGGATGTTCGCAGGTGCGTGCTGCAATCAATAGCTGCACTTGCGCAGCATGTCTGAGCTTTACAGAAAAACACAGCCTACTGTTTCTCGAGACGTCAGCCCTGGATGCTTCTAACGTCGAGAGCGCGTTCAAGATGGTTATCACAGGTGCAGCCTTGATTTATCTTAAGAGCTGTGATGTGCAGTCTGATCTGCGAATAGAGATACACAGCATTGCTGCCTCGAAATCGTTGGAACAGGCAGATGACGATGGGACACGACCTGGCAGGGGCACCGTCGTGGATCCAACTCGGGACCAGAGGCTAGTGACAAAAAGCCGATGCTGCTAGCAGTTTATGGCGGTGAACACCTCTCGCCGCTCCAATCATCATCATCGATCTTCCCTGCAGTAGTGTGAATTTGTCTCGGTCTCCACAGTATATGAATGTTTTTTTCGTGGAAACGCCGTGTGAAAGAAGATATACGTCCCGATAGCACCAAGGGTGAGTTGACGACCCCGCAGATCATTCAGTTGGGTAAGCACTCGCCATAAACAAGTGTCCTGATGCGAAATTCGATCAATCTGCAATGCTAACCCATGAAGCGAATATCGGTTCCCAAGATTTCAAACCCAGTCAAGGCTCTGACGCATACCTCCCGAGATCAACTGTGGATCGGTATTGCACTGTTCAGAGGGATCTCGGCACCTTGTTACCAGCCCTGTGCTGCCCACCGATTGTGAGCACAGTCCAGGACAGTAATCTGAGTCCAGTGTATTCGAGTATCATACCAAGCAGTAAAAGGGCATTCTCTAAACTATGTGCAGCCAAGATGCTGTGCGGTACGGACCGCATCTCGGTCTGGTCGTTCAGAGATGGATTCAGGACAACTACTGCCGGCAGAAGACGTTGACATTCACGCGTTCGCTCCCGCGGTGTTACACGGAATCGACGGATGGTTATTGACGACCAGGCCGATGTCACCTGCGCAGAAACGGGGGAGATAGATAGACAGATAGACTGTCAAGTCGAACGCGGCGGTGCTACAAATGTCCTCGTGCGAAACCGCGCGCCGGGCCAATCGCTCTTCCACGCATAGACCCCAGGTTGACTACAGTGACGCGGTCAGTCAGTCAGTCAGTCTAGGTAGAAGATGAAGATGAGCACGACATACCCGGAACGCGCTCCCACCCCGCCTTCGGCCTGCCCTTCGCCCGCTTCAGAGCACCAGACTTCAGCTGCAGCACGCGGTTGGTGAACGTCTGCGCCGTGCGAGAGGGGAGCAACGCGCCGTTTGCGGCGGGCGAGGCGGAGGACGCAGCGGTGGGGGTGATGCGCAGCGTGCGCGATCTGGGTTGGAGAGGGGCTAAGAACAACATCTCAAAGATGATGGATAAAGGAGGCACGTACCCGAGGACGATGTCCTTGGGCCCATTCCGCCGTTTTTTGCGGCGGATCTTCTTCTGGGGTGCCGCGGGAGACGATTTTGAGTCCGAGGTAGATGTGGACTTGGGAGCGAACGCGGCGGAGAAGAGGTGGTCCGGGAGGTAGCCGGACGACGCATTGGGCGGCGAGGGATTGAGTGTGTCATCCTCGTCCTCGTCCTCGTCCTCGTCCTCTTGGCTGTCATCGTCGAGCCTAACCTCGTCTTCTGCATCTTCCTCGACTTCACCGACATCCTCATCCGACGAGCCGTCCTCCCCTGAATCTGCCTCGCCGAACGCGGGGGAAGATGCGCGCAATCCATCATCATCTTCAAGTCGATCCTCGTCCGCGTCCTCATCCTCGTCGTCGTCCATTTCATCGGCATCCAGCTCCTCGCCAGCAACGATACTCACTTCCTCATCCTCGTCCTCGTCATCCGCCTCCTCCATCGCCCGTCGCATCCTCGCAGCTACTGGGTCCTCCTTTTCTTCGGTGCTGCTCTTTGGGCCACGAGGGCCTGCGCGCGTTTTGCTCGACGAGGGGATATTCAAGCTTGACGCGGACTTCGGCTTGGGCTTTGCCCGCGTGGAGGAACGGGTCGGTGGCATCGAGTCGATATCGCAGTCAGTGAGGACTGAGGGGAAAAAACACTGCCTTGCGGTCACGTGCGCATACTGTAAGGGGTCTCGTCGGTTGCCATCTCGCTGTCTGTCGCGATTTACAGAGGAGTAATTATGTATCCTATTGGAAGGGAAGATACTCCGTATGTGCCTCAGGTATTATTCGGCTTTTGCTGATTGCCATCGGCTCCGCTTCTTGCAGCCTTGCTTGTGCCCAATTCCCTGCCCTGTTCTTCATCCGAATCGATCTCGTTTTGCTTGGTATTTTTACCTCTCGGGGCAGCTCTCATCTTGAAAACTGTCTTCCTCCAGTGTCTACAGAGCTACATGCGGCGCCTATTTCTTGTGGCGCTTCAGAGCACTCTCCAGTGATTCGTCATTGGCGCAGCGTACCGGTCTTCTTTGCACCGTCGCAGCTAATTTCCGAATGTGTAGAGATCTTGCCTCCGATATGGACACAGTATTATGGATCGGAAAGGATCCTGCCTTTGTGTTAACCAGTCCAACACAGGCACCCTCATTGTCCACGATTTTCGCTCTGTCGGCCCTCCCCCCTTCAGCCGACAGCGCTCAGCTGTCTTCAACGCACTACTTTTACCTTGATACCATCTGTTCGACGAACACTTGGAGCCGAAACCGAATCGGTGTGGCCGCCCGCGGCCGCTCTAGTTCTTTCCTTCAAGTTCTTCCAGGTCGTCAGTGATTGACATGCGAACGGCTGTCTCCCTTCTGTATAGAGAACAAAAGGTGTGACGCCGTGTCGACGTTGCTGCGTCGTGGACTGCATAGGGAACAAGACGAGAACGTAAGTGGCCTTTGTTCTCGCGACAGCACGAGATCGCCATCACAACAGCCGTGCTCACGTGACATGAAGGGAGACGAATAAGTACAGTGACTGGGGTGCCCACTGAGGTCAATCCAACAGCCTACGCGTACAGTATGGCTATCTTATCAGCGGACGAGAAGCGAGTCTTGGCCCTCAAAGCGCGTGATCTACGCGCTGGAAACCGCAAATTCACGCTCTCTACATACCGAGAAGACAAGAAGGTCTATCACACCATCCATCTTTCCGAGGACGCGAATGGGAAAAGGCCTTGCTACAGCGCGGCGACCTATTGGGGAGAGTCGCTATTTGGCGTGCATCTCCTGCGTTCGTATCGCCACCAGCGACGAGAGACGCGGATCCGGATCCACACACTCGGAGGCAGAGAGCAGACGGGCTGGTTTGAGGTCGATCAGCAAAACTCAAGTCAAGAGACGGGAGAAATTTGGTCCGTCATCTCGAATTGAAATTACTGGATCTGGATTGCTGATACGCGCGGATAGGGTCTGGGCCACAATATCGCTCCGTGACATACCGGTGAGTAAGACAGTCGCTGGCCTGCACAAAGGAGGAGTTGCTGGATGATGCAGGAGCGAAGCCCATCGGAGCCCCGATTCGTGCAAGAGGCTTCTGTCTCAATCAGGTTACACGTGCTCAAGCCTGGTGAAGAAGGTTTTGTTTTCACCGTGTGTTCTACGACTGCCTACCCCCCACGATTTACATAGCTAACAAGCTTTGCAGTTTCATCGAATAAAGCGTGGAACACACGGCGGTAGAACTATGCATTTGCTACTGGGTGGACTTTTCCGTCGTTTCACTCGAAAATATCCCACAGGGAACGGAAGAGAGACCTGGATTTGCTCGAAAGACGTCGAGAACGACGTGCAGCTGGATCCCAGGGGGCAGCTAACATGTGGAGGCCTGCTTGCGGCTCTGATGTGTCTAGTGAAGCCAAACGATCCAAACATGGAAGAAACGATTCTTTTGAGGGAGTTCATCGAGGACGATTGGTGGAAACCTGGGCCCGATGGGCGCGTCATCGATGAGAATTGCGGCCGGGGAACTTCTGAACCCTTCCGTTAAGTAGACATATCACGTAATATTGATGTCTGGTACTTTAAGCATTAGAGAGTCAACAAATGTACCTCATACTGCGCACTTGGCCCTTTCGAGTCGATCTCGACGAAGCGAATCGAAATCAAACTGCACGTGACAGAAGAAGCACTCCGGGTGTGAATTGCGCCGACTGCGTCATCCATCAAAAGCCATGCCGATTCGGACAACGCTCTTCTTTCTCTGCTTCTCAAAGTCCTCACTGCTCCTCCGCTCGACGCTCGCTACGGCTTTCGCTGAAAAGGACGAGTCGCAAGCAGAGAGTCTAGCTAATACCCCGGGCCTCGCGCTGCTATACCCCGCGAACAGGAGGCGTGTGCCGAGACGCTGGAATGGAGCCGGGAAAACCGGAGAATCTGAGCAGCGCAAATGGGACTGTGAACGGCCACGCGAGGTCGATTGCTGCCACCACCAAGCAGCAACCGAAAGCGAAAGCAGGGCCGCGTTTCTGCGGCCTTCGCACGGTGACTACCACCACCGACATCCCCGCCTCCCTACCCCCGCCCTCCTCCCTGCCTCCACCGCCCCCCGCCGCACGACGCGGGTTCAACTTCGCGAAGACCGTCGCCTCCTCACGGGACCGCGCGCGTGCCCGGCGCAATCGGCAGACCCCGCAGCCGTGGGCGGTGCGCAAGCTCATGGTGCCGCTCACGTCCGCGATCATGGTCTACACCGCGTATGTGTTCTGCGGGCGGCTCGCGCCGCGGATCGGGCGAGCGAAGGGGATCGGGCTGGGTCTAGGGTTTGCTGTGCTCTGGCTTTGGATGGTGTGGGCGTATGTGAAGGTACGTGCGGCTGCGGTGGGGTGATCGGGGTTTGAAGCCGGTGCTGACGCTGCGCTGTTACAGGTTGTTATTACGCCCCCCGGGAATGCACGCGATGTAAGCTCGCGATCCAATGTCGCTTCATTAGTCGGCTGACTGACTATCCACGCGCGCAGTACGTATCTCAGTCGCCGCAGCCGCTTTTCCCGATCCAGCCGACTCCCATGTCGCCCAACACACCCCCTCAGAACCGAGCGACAGACAACGCCGCGACGTACGATACCGATGACGAATCGGATCTGGACGACGCTGCACTGGCGGAATTAGAAGCCGGACGTATCGGCGGGCCAGCATACAACACCATGCAGAGCCCGATCCAGATTCCCATCCCGATCGCGAACTCTGGCCCGCCAACCTCTGAGACCGCCGCCGTCGACGCTGCCCCACCACCCGGCAAGATCCCGGCGCGCACACCCCGGGGCCGGCATCCTCCGACGACACCAGTGCTTCTGCCCCAACACCGGTGGTGCGGCAAGTGCCAGATTGTGAAGCCCTACCGGGCACACCATTGCCGGGTGTGCGGGACGTGCATCCTCAAGTACGACCACCACTGTCCCTGGATCGGGCAGTGCGTCGGCGCGCGGAACCACAAGTTCTTCCTGAACTTCTGCGTCGCAGCGGGATGCCTCACGGCGTATACGTTCGGCAGCCTGCTGGCGTTCAACGTCGGGGAGAGTGGTGTCGATGCGCAGGAGCTCGTGATCATAGTCCTGTGCGTGTGTTCCCCAGGGCCTCTTCTTGTGGGTGTCCGCTGACTTGCGATCACAGATCGGCGCTGTTCTTGCTCTTCACGAGCTCGCTGTCGGTCGCGCACGGGCGGCTGATATCCCACGCGCAGACGACAGTCGAGAGCATCAAGGTGCGCACGCTGCGCGAGAAGGAGGCGGCACAGTTGGGGGTCGATGGCTGGCAGTGCTGGGAAGTCGGGTGCGTTCAGCCCTGGTCGCGTTTCGTCACCCTTCTCACCGGATACGAACACCAACAGCGCGAAACAGCGCGTTAAGCGCAGCTACGACGCCGAGTGGGGTAACCCGGACACCGAGGGGAACATCTGGTGGCCAGGCTCTCGACGCGGAGCATGGGAGGACGTGATGGGGCATGCTTGGCTAGGGTGGATATGTACGTTGAGAGCCCATTCTTCTTGCTTTCCATTCTCTGATTTTAACTTGCCACCGCAGTGCCGGTAGGTAGGCCGCTGGGTGATGGCTTGGATTATAAGCCTAACCCACGCTTCGATGAGCAGGGTCGGTGGAGGAGGCGGAGCGAGTGGCCGGGTGGTCTACGGGGGGGATGACGATGATACTTCGCTGCATCTACATTGTCTATATAGGTGCTGCAAGCACACTACATTCTCGGAAGCCCAAGCTGCACACCAAGTCCTGGGGAGACCAAGCCAATGTCCGCAGGACAGCAGGAGATCTGCCATGATGACAAGGCCGGCGAGAAGAATACTTACCGGCATCCCCTCATCTGTAGAGATCGCTGCGGTCGAACGACCTGCCAGGTGCCATGGTGGGGGCCGTCACACGTGACCGATGTTGACATGAGAGATGCTTCTGATCCTGAGAGCAAATCGGGCGTAGCCAATCAATGAAGAGTGCCGAAATTTCAAAACGAACGTGCTAAGGAGTGTGCTATATACCATTTCAAGCAGGGGCTTCGCCCTTGTACGCCTTGACTATGACCCGTAGACCGCCGACGGAAACCAAACCCGCTTTGTCACTCCCGCCACGAACGAACGAGATGGGACGTTGGAAAAACCCGCTGACCGTGGGCTTGACCTCTTCAGAAGCGGGGAGGAAAACGAAGCGGCGTAAAAGAGCGAACAGAATGGCCTTTTGCCTTCGGAAGTAGGCGTCAGTGAATCGTTGAAGACAGCTTGAATGATGAGTTCGCGACGCACTCGACGATGGTGAACTGGAAGCCCATGCAGCTGTGCTTGCCGGCCAGGAAGGTCATCTGGTGGGCCCAGACTCCCGGGATGGCTTTCACGGCTTCCGGGACATTGTCCCAGCGTTCGGGCCTGCACGATCGTCAACATGGCACGCACGAACGCAATGTGTAAACAAACGACGGGACCTGAACTCGAGCGCGTCCTCTCCCCAGAGCTCCTTGCTGTTGTTGACCTCCAGGACCGGGATGTGGAAAAGCTGGCCCGTACGAATCCTGGATCTCGCCTTCAGCACAACAATATTCTGAGTCATAAAATCACGGGAACAAACGGGAGAGACTCGTGCGAAATGCCTTGACGGTCGACATATGGCTTGCTGAGCGGCAACACGTCGTCCCTCTCCGCCATACGCTCGGTGCTGACTAATGGTGAGTGCAACCGCATGGTTTCTCTGAGAACATTCTCCAGGAACGGGAGCGCGTTGAGCTCGTCCATGGTCGGAGTCTGCGTCGGAACCGAGAGCAGCTCTTGACGCAGTTTGTCTTGCACGGACTGATCGCTTGACAAGGCGTGCGTCGCCCAGGCGAGGGCGAGGCTGCTCGTCTCGTGTCCAGCGAGGAAGAACGTTGGTATTTCTGTCAGACAGTTTTGATACTTGGTCTGAGCTATACGCCCGAACAAATACACTCACGGGCGATCACTTCGTCGTCGCTCATGCGCTGGCTTTGGGGAGCCTCACTGGACATGTTGGCCTTCACGAGAAGCGACAACAAATCGCGACCCGAGGTAAGATTTTTGGACCCGAGCGAAGCAGCCTCGGTCTTGGATTTGTTAAGCAATTCCGTCCCGATTGCCCGCAACTTCTTTCTTGCATAGCGAGTGACCGTCCAGCCAGGTAGAGGCTGCCACGCTACTCATCAGCTTCAGATTCTTCGAGAAATTGTAAGTCACTTACAAGGGCCCGTAAAATTGGGATGTCAGCCTGTGCGGCCTGGAATGCCCGATAGAAGTTGAGGTTCGGGTTTTGGAACATCCGAGCAAACACCGTGCTCAGTTCTGCTTCCTTTTTGCCGTGTGTCTCCAGAGACTTGAATTGATAGCCGAATCCTGAAAAAAAAAATCAGAAAATACCCTGAACACCACGCACTGCATGTCCAGGCTCGCTACGCACCGGCCTCTCCGATGATATCTAAGGTGACCTGACGGAACCAGTCCGACATATTCGTAGTCACCGTACCGCCGGCAGCGTCGACGTCTTTTGCCAGCATGTCGCGCAACTGTGACGTAGCCAAGTCAACCAATGTGGGCCGTGGAAGAGACGTCATCAATCACCATATTTCCTTTTTCCACAAAGACCTCGTTCATGGCCCGTAGCTGCTGGGGACCGAAGGCAGGGCTCTGCGCGACCATCACCCCAATCAGTGGAAGATCAGGGATCCAGGACTGTCAGTGCACGAACCAGAATTTTTCGCTGGGTGAAAGGGACAATTCCGTCGTCCATATGACCATCCAATGATGATTGAAAGACTTGCGTACCTGACGTCTATGCGGATCGCGGTCAACCGAAAGGATTCCGTCTCCCATCACCTCCTGCAGATTGAATAGCAGTGCATATGGTTTCGTGTAAAGTGAGCCGTGCGAGAGGATGTGAGATAACGCCGTTATGTCTGTAGTGTAAAGTTCGTTTTCCTACCAGGTCCCAAACTTTCAGCTCCAGGAAAAAGAAATGGCCGAGAGCAACCCACGTAGAAGAGGCTTTTAGCCATGAACGTCGTTCCGTATTCTGCTCGCCACTTGACGGTGGTATCCGGTACATCCTGCGAAAACACCAGAGCGGATCAGCGGACAAAACAGCCAGATCTGCTATATTTGTCGCACAAAAATGAGGGTGAAATGCCCCATGAGAGGATTGGCACACGGCGGGCCATCGATAAACTTGAGGGGCGAGGTCCAGTTTCTGTGCAAAATCTTGAGAGCGTATAGGGCAACGGATGCGATCAAGGTGGCCACAGCCGGGATAAGAATGTTTGCGATCATGATGGAAGTGAGTTGGGGGGACAAGGTGCAAGAGCAAGGCCTTATATATGATTTTCTCGTGGCCGAATGCATCGCACCTGCGCCCAGATCTACGGCCCGTGGGGTAAAGAGGAATGACTGGTGGTAACCGACAGCAGCACTGCCAAAATACCGCAAAAAAGCACCGCTTACATTGCAGAAGCGAGACGCTTTAGAGCCGGGGATTCTGTCAAAGCGAATGACTTTCCGTGCCGCACAGATGCCGACGGGAACCCGCCTGGCTTCTGATGTAGAGGTGGGCACGATGCATCGGATCGGGAGACTTCTATGACTGAACGAGAACCAATGAAACACGGTATGACTTATCCGATGATATCCGAACAGGTGTGCAAAGTTTTGCCAACATTAGGGCGTAGTATTGATCGCAACGGTGCGGATAAACGGCAACGGTCCGGATAATCGAGTCGCACTCTCTCATTTCGCGACTTGATGCCTCGGAACTTTCTGCAACTCACTACCGTACATGTAGACTCAATTTATGCGAAGTAGCTAAGGAATCCGTCCCGACGATTGAGTGAACGAGACTTGCCGGTACATCAATTCAGTTTGTTTTGGAACCTACCAACTCGTTCTGGCTTTATCTCCAGTCCTACATCTCCGAGAAAAGACTGGGGGTCGTATTTAGGCTACAGGCCAGTGCTCCAAGACTTTCCTTGGGATTTCATGCAGCAGAACGAGCTCAATAACTCCTTGACGCGAGGTGTCACAAAATGTCACCACACAGTCAATGATGCCAATTTCGAGAGGTGATGGCCATGTGACTTTTGTTTCATCTCGCATCCCCATGTTGTCCAGCAACACTGAACTCGATGACTGGCCCTTCGACCACTTCGATAGAGAGTTTCCGCCTCGACAGCATCTTCTTGAAACGACCACGGAGGGTAGTGAGAGGGACACCGAAGTTGCAAGAACACATTAGGTTTGCAACCGGCGGCCACATCCCTGAGGAGAGCAGTGCATGCAGCCTGTGTCTTCTTCTCAGCGGCGCAGCTTTTTTAAGTTTCTCTTCAACCACAGCTCCAATTTTGTGCATGCAATAGTGGCGGTCAGAGTAGCGGATCAAGGCGTGATTACTAGTGGTCTCACGGTTCAGTTCGGTTCGGGTTCAATAATTTTGATGGTTCGAACCGGTTTGAACCAAGTTCGGCTTTTTTGGTCTCCCCCGAACTCCAAACCGAACCACGGTTCAGGTTCGGGCATTTGGCTGAACCCAAACCCCAAACCGGAGTTCAGTTCGGTTCAGTTCGGGTTCGAACCAATTTCCGAACTGAACCCTGAGAGCACTAGTGATTACGGTCAAAGATTAAGTAGGCAAAAGTTTATGGACACTCAGAATCCATCACAGTCTGAATCGTGCCCTTAACACCTAAGGAACATCCGCCGCGGAGGGTACCCCCCCTGTTAGGGGTCAAAAGTCAACTGATTTGGATACCTAACAGGGGGGGTACCCTCCGCACTTTTGGCCATCCTCCGCAAATGGGTGCCAAGCATCTGCAACAAGCCCTGATCCATCTGCTCCTGGCTCTCCCTGTGATTGTTGTGATGCCATCATGCAGGCCATCCATGGACCACATCATGTGACTGTTCTCCAGTGCAGAACCCTCCGCATTTCTTGCTCTTTCATTTTTTCAGTTCTAGCCTGTAAACATTGCTCCACTGTGGACTTGAGCCTTCTGTAGCCAATGTATGCAAGTGCTCTTGACTCCCAAATGATTATAGCTGCTTTCAAAGACCTCTATGTGCAGCAAACAAAGAGTGTTAGTTGGGCCAATTCAGTGCTTGGGCTGTGCGGATGCTCTGCATTGTTTCTGGATTGCTAAATTGGTTGCTCAGAACCTTAATGCCTAGGATAAACATAGAACTCAAGCTTTTCAGATGCTGCCAGGTTCCTTAGAACCCAGGTAGATCTCTCCAGCACCCACAGCAGCTGAAACGTGTGCCATGCAGATGCATCCGCCACCTGCTGTCCAGGGCCAGATTGGGGCAGGCCCTGTTCAGTACAGGCTCTGCAGAAAATTAAACTTGCACACCTTCACCTGCCATGATCAGTGCATGCAGCCAGGATCCTCCTGCATTGACAGCATGCTGTGCAGATGCATCCGCCCCTTGCGGTCCAGAGCCAGATTTCAGCACAGGTGTCATAGTTCGACCCTTTTTCATCTTATCATCGACCTTCTTAGCTTATCTTGGCACGAACTATCTTATCACGGATCACGGCATCAGACGGTCCAGGCTAGGGGTTCTAGGGATTATCTTTATTGATTCGAGGCTGTGCAACATATGCTCTGGAAGATTCTACTACAACCCATGACCAGGGCTCCATGCGGTGATAGGCTGGCTACCAGACACGCTCTGCACCAACTCTGTAAGGGCGTATTTTTGCGCTTTTTACAGAGTTTACTCTCGAACCACTCGGTGTATCGTGTCGCGGTTGACAGTGTTGCGCTCAGTAGGACTTAAGGGTCTACTGCCCAGTCGACGATAGCAAGGCAGTCAGACCACTACTGTGGAACTGGTCTTATGAGTCTATACCAGGCTCAGGGCCATTAGTGACGAACGCTTGGACCGCGACCATTCCCCAAAAGGGATCTGTCGTTGCGTTGACTTCTCAAAAAGGGTCATTCTGTTGATCAAATGATGATCTTATCATCTGCCAGATGGATGTCGTGATACACATCTTATGACTCCATCACGTGTCATCTAGAGTCATGTCGACTTGTCCTAAATAGACACAAGTAGCCCCCTGTATTGTATATAAGGAGGGCTCTATTACCCTTTAATAACAAGTCTCTTGACTACTCCCGCATAGTGCCCACACTAAGCTCTCACTCACACAGGTGAGCTGCTAGACGCTCTCCCCAGTGCTCAACAGGTTATGGGCCCCGAGAGCTATGTCTGCGCCTCAATGGCCGTGACATTCATTGTATGCGCCGTCACTGGCTGCAACAATGAGCAGCGTCTTTAGCCTATCTGTATTCACTTCAGCTGCTGCACAGCGCTGGTGAAACCATGCCGGATCGCGATTACATCGCTTGATCCAGATGCATCGATCTCTCAAGGAGATTGGGTGACTTTCCGTAAGCGTTTTCGCATAAATCAAGGCTACATAAACGCACTTGCCGAGATGCCGGGGTGTCGATCGGGACCCCGGCGTGTCAACCTCTCGCTTAAGCCCTTTCCTAGACTACGAATAGATAGCTATCTGTGTAAGGCCTCCCGACCCCCTACACAGACACAAAACAGCTTCAAAAACCGAAAGAGGAAGGTGTCCATCACACCTTTGACGTCAGGCCCGTGCTAAGTCCGCTGGGTTCCCGTCATCACTCCTCCGCACTCAACCTCTGAGAGCTCCATTAGCCTGCGCTGAAACTCGGTATCGCCCTCGTCGTCATCCTCACTGGGACCGTTGTTGTCGAGGTCGTCGTACATGCCGTAGTCGTTGTTATCGTCGTGGTGCATGAAGAGTTCAAATGACGTGATCAGTCATTCAGTTCTGAGAGCCGCAATAGACAGATGTCAACTTGTAAAGGCCGAGAAATGATAAAATGTGTTGCGGATAAAGCTTTTGACATAAACATATCCCATAACGGTAAGCAAGATCATTTGGCACCGTGATATGGGATATGTATATGCATCTATGTTACGGAAAGTCACCCATTATGATCTATGAGAATCTGATCATATTGATCTTTGATTTTATCTATCAGATTAGATTGATGCTGATTAACTCACACAGATCAATATGTCGTCCAACTCCAACAACATCTTCAGTGCTGTCTCCATCTTTGATGGAAAGCACTGGCTCGTATGGTCCGGAACTATGGAGTCCTACCTGGAACATCAGGGGATCTCATATGTGCTGACCGAAACGGCGCCGACCGAAGTCAAAGCTACCGATGGCTCTGTGACCAACGCATCGGAGATCAAACAATGGAAGCATGATGATCTCAGAGCCAAAGGCAGCATTAAGTTGCGCCTGACTGAGGGAGTCATTGCTAACATTCCTCCTGCGGATATAGTGTCAGCTGCCAAGATCTGGGCGCATCTGAAGACCCAATACGGTGGTGCTCAGTGCGCCGACCTATATGCGTACTTCCAAACCGCGTTGAACGCCAAGTACAACGTGGGGTTGCACCCGGATCCACAGCTGCTGGTGATCACTACGGCGTTCGCTCGCCTGGAGAATGAGTCTTTGAGCATCCCTGAGTTCCTCAGAGCGATGATCATTCTCAACATAGCCCGGATTCCCTCCGTCACAGAGACTGTTCTCCAGACCTATGAAAAGGACGAGATCAAAGTCTCGGCGGTTTGTGACGCTCTCTTGACGCATTTCACTCAGAAGCAGTCTCAAAGCCAGAATCATGTGGCCAAGTTCAATACCAAGCGCAAGCGCGATGATCCTTCGTTCACCAATCAGCAACAGGGCTCTGGCTCTGCACCCGATAAGGGTGATAAGGCTGATGGAAAGAAGAAGAACCGTCGAGGCAAGCGCAGTGGGAAGAACAAGGACAACAAGGGCAAGGGCAAGGCTGATCACAGTCATGTCCATGGAGTCTCCGAGATCACTGGCTCCCTCACTATTGGATCGATCGCCTCGCTCACTCCGTCTATCCCTGCGCCGACGATCTCGCATGTCACGCACATCTCTCGCGATGGACCCAAAATCCGCGCGGTTCAAGAGAAGTCTCCCGTTAACAACAATGGGATTATTGACACCGAGTTCCAGAAGCCTACTCGTAAGGTCTTCGAGCTGGCCAAGAAGATGGATGTGACGGTGACCGCAGAACGCTTCCGGACTCTCGACAAGATCGTCAATGAGAAAGGAATGCTCCGCGAGGATGCAATCATGCGTTCTCCATCTCCGGTTGCTTCCGGCTCGAATCACACTCTGGATGGTGGTCCTCCTGCCAAACGCAGTCGTATCGAGGAGATCCCCGACGTCGAGATGGCCACCGGCCAAC